ATTGATTTGTACACATCACAGGTCAATTTGTTCAATCAACCAAATTATCTTTTGTTTGTCTAATTGATTGATTGGTAATTTCGTTTTAATCATTAGCCAATTAAACAGTGTATCTTACAAATAAGATCCACTCTTTTTAAAGAAAGAACTTCATCAGTACTATCCTTGTAAGAACTGAAAATTCTCCTCTCAGATCATTCTAATGAATCATCAGACTCCCAGAGGACTGAATTTTCTTTGAATAAACAGTATCCTTAATCTTAACAATTAATTAAAGAACAATACTATAAAAAGCAAGCATGATGTCCCTTTGATTTACAATGATATCTTTCCTCTTTTCTCCATTTTTTCCGGCCTGCAAAGCTGAAAAGAACATGTATTTATTATATACTGAATAATGAATACTTCTGCGTATATATGGATGGGATTGCAAAAGAGAAAAGAGATATGTATGGAAGTGTGAAAAGAGAGAAAAAGCAGAGGTGTTGACCGCGACTGGACAGAGGGGCGAGTGGGGGATCGGAGTTGAAGAATGAAGATAGAAGAAGAAGAAGGGAAAAAAAGAAGGGAAAAAAAGGGCGCGAGAAACGATGCATGGCGGGATGGCGATGGGTCCGGCGAGGAATTGATGCGCACCAACAACCCTTCTGCTTTACGCGGCACACCACGTGCTGCCCTCATCATCTTACTACCACAACTTCATCTCAAAGCTTTGATAGATTCACACATGCTTCTTTCACTATTATTATATGTTGATGAAGTGTATTCCTTTAATAAAGTATTGTGTGTCAACATTAAAGACAATTGATAAGTTTATCATTAATATAATAATTTAATTACAAATAAGTTGTCAAGCAATATTGAGAAATGTGCATTAAATACAATTACAGAAAAACAAAACAGGTGACGAATCGTCTTGCAAGTGCTTCCCTTAGACAAGAGACAGGTTTTGCGACTGTTACGAGACTCCCCCCACCCCCTACAACTCTTATCAACTTACTTAGCTAGGATATTGTTGGGCGTCAGCCGGGTTGATTGAATTCAGCCCCTGTTCGATTCGAAACGTGGCGATGTGGCTTACCATGGAGAGATATGGTTAAATGGTTAATGTTCACATACTTATCACCAATTAGTTTTAAGTAGTATATGACAATCAAGTACCATAGAACTCTGTGGTTAAGCATGCTCAACTTCCCGCAATCTTGAGATGGGTGATCCGCCGAGGTCACAGGTTCAGGAGAGGATGATGGGCGCGTAGGCTGGGGGATAAGCTACCATAGAACAACTCGCTGAGATCTAATAGATATGTCGAGACGTGGGGTGTTACAATGATGAATAACTACTCTTTGTTTATGGCTGTGTGGTCTCTAAAAAAGTACAATTACGATGTGTTAGGTTTTTATTCAAGAGAGCTTCCTAAATTAAGTTTGACAATAGCTGGTGTTTAGTGAAACCTAGTGAAATTACAAGATTTGTGGTCATTGTATTAAAAAAAAAAAGTGGGAATAAATGTTAAGAATATTGTATAATTTAAAATATAAAATAACTCGGGAAAATGTTTAAAGCTTGGCAATAAGATTATGGACCCCACATTCACTTATTGGAAGTTATAAAATAAAAGATCTCATGTTTCACAATTGGACTTGCTCAATAAATAAATAGATTAATAGTGAAGCAAATTTGTATGTGGATTGAATATCGACTCACAATAACTATTTATCGACTCATTTTCCCCTTTTACTTTGGAATGGCTAAAAAGCAGATCACGTATATGGAATTCTATTTGTTGGCCTGAAAAGAAAGAGACTGAAAGAGGAAACAGCACTACTATTGAAGCAAATTAAAGACTGCTTTTCTGCTTCATTGTTCGTGTCTGCAATATTCTTCGAGGCTGATCCTATTGTTCATATCTACTTGCAGGCTTGCACCTACTTGCTAATCTAGTGCTGTACAACCAAGATGCCCCATATAACATCTACACTAACTAATTATTTAAGACTATTTAAAGGTGTAATTGACTCGAGTCGAGTCTAATCTAAACAAGTAAAAATTGAAATTTGATTATTAAAATAACTTAAAGTCAAACTCAATTGAGCTCCACATATTACGTACACTAATTATTTGTGTTAGTTTGGTCGTGTGATTGACTCGAGTCGTGTCTAAATAGGCAAAACTCAAAACATAGCTCAACTAAGCTCTATGTTTTTGAGCTCGGGCTCGATTGGACTCAAGCTTGAATTATTTGAGCTTGACTTGATTGAGCTATGATTTGATGTGTTACTTGAACTACTCGAGTTAGAGCTTAAATCGATAGTAATTGAATCAAATTTGAACATTAATTGGACCGAACCCTCCTATTACAAAGAGAAAATATCATTTTTAGTCCCTCAACTATAATACATGTATCAATTTTAGTCATTGATTATTAAAATTTTCAAATTAGGTGCATGACTATTCAATTTGTATCACATTTGGTCATTGGCTATTAATATTTTCAAATTAAGTACATAACCATTCAATTTATATTACATTTGGTCATGCGGTCATGCCGTTAAATTTTCATGCCAAATTTTCGGCCAAGTCATCAATGACGTGCCAATTTATTTAATTTTTATTTTAATATTTTTAAAAGAATTTTTAAATTAAAAAAACTTTGCAAAAAAAAAAAAAAAAACACCAACCACCCCCCACCATCCTCCTTCGTAATAGCTCACACAATATGATAAAACCCCGTTTTTATAGTCAAGGGACTAAAAATGATATTTTCTCTATTACAAATGAGTGCATTTTACCCATTCTATTGATTTGGGCCAAACTATATGTCTTTGCAGCTAGTTGGGCTATTATTTGTCTCCCAATATAGCCCATCCATCAAAACTCGGATCAAGCCCATATTCGAGCGTTCGAGCCCATTTATTGAATTCGGGTCAGAATCTCGGATTCTCGCAATTGCAAATAAATACGAAGCAGACCTTGAAAATTCGAATTTCTGTGACAAAATTCTTTCGAATTGTCGCAGTGTTCCATCTTCGCAAGTTCAGCAATGGAGAATCCGGTTAAAGAGGTATATACATATACATCGATGCGTAATTTACACTTATTTTTTTTTTAAAATGAGTTTGTAATTTTGTATTTCTGAGGAAATGATTTTCTCAGTAATGGATTTTTTTTTACTTTTTTTATTTTTAAATTGTTCAGATAATAGAGAAGCAAGTGTTGACGGTGGTGAAGGCCGTGGAGGACAAGCTCGATGAAGAGATTGCGGCATTAGATCGGCTAGATCTCGAGGATATTGAGGCGTTGAGGGAGCGCAGACTGCAGCAGATGAAGAAAATGGCGGAGAAGCGGAGCCGGTGGATGTCTCTCGGCCATGGAGAGTATTCGGAGATTCCGTCCGAGAAAGATTTCTTCTCCGTAGTTAAGGCTAGTGAGCGAGTTGTCTGCCATTTCTACCGCGATAATTGGCCTTGCAAGGTAACTAAACATGGGATATTGGCCTTGAGGATAATTTTTCAGCTCTTTTATTATATTGGCAGTTCATTCGTGAAAGGAGGATATTTAAGTTCTTTCCTCTTCTAGATCCATGCGATCGAGCTCATGCAAGTTTAAAATTTACTTCGTAGATAATAATTTGCTGTCTTGGTTGAAAGCAAGTTGCTCTGCGGTCTTTTGCTGGTTTTTAGCTTTGATTGGATTTAAAGTTTGCATTTTTATTGAGATTAGATTAAACTTCATATAAGTTACATTCTTGGGGTCAGGAAGTAGTGCACTAATGGTGGAAGGGAAAATGTTACTTTGCACATTAGCTTCCCTATTGGGAATTTCGGCATATTTCAGTGATTGCTATCCTTTGCTGAACACAATTCTTGCCTTTTTGTTCTTGCATTGCCAACATTTAACAGTCAATCAATTTTACCACTAAATAGTGTAAGTGTGTAACTTAATGATGAATATGTGACCCTTATCTATGAATTTGCTATGCCTCTGCTGAAAGTTGTTTCGGAAACAGAAGAATATAGTCCATGGCTTATGTACTGTGTTTGAGTGTCTCAGTATTCTATGGCCCTCTATTTTATTTCATTTTGTCGTCCGGCTTCAATTTGTTTAATACAAGTGAATTGGAAAAAACTGCACCAAGTTGAGCATGCCAATAATCCTAGAAGCATACTTATGGTTTGTTTTGAGCAACTAAGATTCCAATATTAGTACTTCTAACCCCCAGTTCTTGAAACATATGCTTACTTTTCTATCTCATTATTCTTTTAGGCCTTTTCAATCATATGTTGCTCACTCTATGATTTATTGCCTTTTCTGATCTTGACAATGGGGAAACAAACTTTAATAAGACATTAACGAGTGCAGCATGATTGCAGGTTGTGGATAAGCATTTGAGTATATTGGCAAAACAGCATATAGAGACACGCTTTGTTAAAATTCATGCAGAGAAAAGTCCATACTTGGCCGAGAAGCTGAGGATTGTTGTTCTCCCAACACTTGCCCTCGTAAAAAACGCTAAAGTGGAGGATTATGTGGTATATTGTGTATTGAGAAAATATTCATTAGTGGAATCATTTAAATTTGCTAGCATTGTGCTTATTGTTTGATTCATATTCATATGAAGGTTGGATTTGATGAGCTTGGCGGAAAAGACGATTTTAGCACAGAGGAACTGGAAGAGAGGTTAGCCAAAGCTGAAGTTATCCATTTTGAGGGTGAATCATCTATGCGTGCATCAAAACTTAAATCGCAATCTAGGAGTGTACGCCAAAGCTCAAATGCAGACTCATCTGACTCGGAGTAAATGGCGAATGAAAAATTTCTGCATAGTTGATCATGAGAGATCCCAAGACCTGTTTTCCAGAACATCTACAGTACCAATTTAGGTATGTTGGTTTATTTTGAGGTGTGAGCATGGATAGGAAAATGATATTGTTGTAATGACAATCCAACATTCCAACTATTTAAACCGCATTTATAGAGAAATATGTAAACCGTGTTTGCTTCAACTCTTCAAAATTATTTTATTCTCAATTGTTCCAAAAACCTACACTCTTCCTCCTTAGTGAAATGGGGGTTAAGCTTACAGAGGCTTTTGATGAACATCACAGCCTCGTCTTTCCTGTCAAGCTTACAGTAAGAGTCTACAATGGGGTTGTACGTGTTCTCATTTGGTTTACAGCCATTCTTTATCATGTACCTAACCACATCTGTGGCTTCAACAAACATTGCATTTGCTGCATACCTGGCTACGAAGGTATTGTACGTTATCACATCAGGAATGACCCCGGCTTCCTTCATTTCTGTGAGGACTCGCAAGGCGTCTCCCATTTGGCCATTCCTGCAGTATGCACAGATAACGGTGTTGTACGAAATGACATCTGGTTTGATTCCTTTCCCCGAAATATCTCTCAGTATTTGTTCAGACTGCTTGTACTTATTGGACTGGCTGTACATGTACATCAAGCAATTGTATGTTGCCAAACTTGGAGTGAGACCCCACTCGTTCATGAAGTTCAGTATCTCGTTGGCCTTGGCAACCATTTGCTTCCGCCCATATATGGAAAGTAGAGCGTTTAGAGTGGTTATGTCTGGGGAGAAGCCTCTCCTTCTCAACTCCAGGAAAGCTCGCTCTGTTTCCACCAAAAGGTCGGTTTTGCTATAAACTAAAACGAGGGTTTTCAAGAGCACAACAGAAGGCTCAATACTACAAGAGTATATGTTTTCTGCAAGGTCATGGATCTTTTGAACCTCTCTCCCGTTTGCATAAGCGTGAAGCAAGGAGCTATAGGAAAGTTCATTGGGTTTGCACCTTGCGTCTTTCATCTCTGCAATCACTTTCTCGGACTGTTCCCATAGCCCTCCCCGGGCCAATGCTGCTAGAAAGGTATTGTAGGTTGAAAGATCTGGCACGAACCCCTCCTCGACCGTTCTGTTGTATACAACCATGGCCTGATCAAAAGCTCCACATCGACTATATGCACTGATCAATGTGTTGAATGTGTCCCTTTCGGCTGCAAACCCTGCTCTCTTCATTTCCTCAAACACCCCCGAAACCTCAGAACCCATCCCATTCTGCCCAAACACAGCGAGAAGAGAATTCCAAGTAACAATATCCGGGGAACATCCTAACACCTTAATATCATCAAAGATCTTCATCATTTCGACAAACTTACCCTGGTTTCCGTATACCTTAATCAGTGCATTAAAAGTACAGATATTCGGTTTACAACCCGCATTCCTCATCTCTTCAAAGATCTTCACCGCAGATTCATACTTCCCAGCCTTCTCAAATCCAGACAACAGAGTCGTGAAAGTAAACACATCAGGCCTAATCCCTTTACCCATCATCCGACCTTTTAGTTCCATCGCTTCCTCCATCAGACCACCCCTAGCATAAGCAGATATCAAGGAATTGTAACTCACAACACTAGCTGAGAACCCATTCTCCTCCATCTCACGCAAAACCTCCATGGCTTCCTTAGGCCTACCGGACTTCCCATACACATCCAACAAGACATTATAAGTAACCTTATCAGGAACAAACCCTGCAACCTTCATCTCCTCAACTATCCCTTCTGCTTCCTCGTGCAAACACCCTCGTCGACAACAAGCAATGAGAGTATTATACGTGTAAGCATCGGGAGAAACCCCGGAGTTCTTCAAATCTCGAAACACATCCATAATCTTATTCCATGGCATACCCATTTTCCCATACACATTCAGAATCGCGTTATAAGTAACCAAAGTAGCCTTGCACCCTTCCTCCTCCATTTTATCAAACACCATTGCAGCCTCTCTGTACCTCCTATTACCACTCAAAGCAGTTATCAAAGAAGTATATGCATAAACATCAATCTGAAAACCAGCTTTCTGCAAATCATTAAGCAAGGAAGAGGCAGCCGAAGCTCGACCCTCCTTTCCAAGAATGCTAACAATCACTGCAATGACAGAGCCATTCAACAAAGCTTCCGAATTGGGGCAATTCCGAACCCATTCAAACACAGACAATGCCAAGTCGCATTTTTTATAGTGCCTTAAACCCTTAATAACCCCCAAAATGTCAAGGGAAAGAGATTCAATACATAATTCCGAGGATTCTTGTCGTTGGGAATTGAATAAGGTAATCATTACCTCGTCAATTGTTTCAGCAGAAAAGTCTGAATCTGTGAGGGCTTTCAGAGCTTGCTGACCTTGCAGGGAGACGCGGTGGTGGGTCCATGGCTTCCCCTTGTTAAAGTCGCGATCTTTCCCAATTCGGCGGCGCGTTCTTGGGACGGGGGGCGGGTAGATTGAGTTGGAAGTGGAAGCGGTGGGGTTGGGGCGGTGTAGGAGTTCCTGGATTAGAGGAGCTAAGGGTGGCGGCGGCGGTAGTGGAGTTGAAGCGGTGGATAAGAGCTGGGGGTCTTGAAAGAAAGGCTTCCGGGGAGTTGGGTTTGGTAACAGAGAAGGAAGAGATAGCTTACCCGCCATGCGAGCAGCAAGGGAAATTCAGAAAGCGCAGCGACGAGGGAGCAGAAAGATTGCTACTTTTCAACTCGCGAATGCAAAATCCATATATCAAATTCTCAATCTACAAATGTTCGCCAAAGCTCAAATGCAGACTCGCCTAAGGGTAAATAGTGAGTGGATAATTGCTATATTTTTACCTATTTAAGAATGTTGTGTATGTATATTCCTGGAAAATAACAAGTGTTAGCATATTAGTAAATCAGAGTCGTAGAAAAGGTTAAATCCCCAATTTCAAGAGCTCCACGTTTGGACCAACAAAGCATCTAGAAAAGGTTGAATTTTCAATTCCAACGTTCGGACCAGCAAAGCAAAAAGTTAAATTATCAATTCTAAGAACTTCAAGCTCGGACCCGGCAAAGCATCCAGGAGGGTGTTATTAATATCTTGATACTTTTTTCCAACAGAATCTTATTGATTCACTTTTTTGTTAAATCCAAAATATTGATAGAAATCCATCATTTCATATGGTGTCTGTTATCCTCAACACTTCTCTTTAGTGTTTGAGATATCTTAACAAGTGAATGTGTTAAAGTGAGTCGACCACATTTTCTGTAATCCTTTTGATTGTTTGTCATTTCCCCAGGAAAAATGTCAAATTGTAATTTGTATTTGAAGTGTTTAGCAGAGAAAACCTACAAAGATTAGCTGTTTGAGAGGCCATAGCCATATTCCATTACAGATAAGTAGTATCCAAAGCAATGTAACAAACTATTTATCTACAGTCTGCACTGTCTAAAACGACTAAATTTCTCAGTCAACTTGATCAATGCTAGAGCCATCTTTCTGTATTCCATATGGCAGTGACAGAAGTTCCGTAAGCTCTAGGCGATATTCAAGACCTCTTATGTAGTGCCCCAGTAGCATGCACCTAAATCAAACGAAATACGAGAAAAAACTATCAGTTGGAAGTTGGAACTCTTAAGAATTCAAAAACTGACAAGGGAAACCTGCAGTCACTACTCAAGGTTATGCATGGGGTAAATCCGAGTTAATGAAATGCAATGTAAATATTTGGGCAATGAGAGAGTGAATGATCTCACCAGAACAGCAGGCGTGCAAGATAATCCCGAGTTAATGAAATCATGGGCTGGAATTGAAGGGAAGTATTTTCAACGAGATCAATGCAATCTTCGGCTCCAATATTTACAGTACCAGCAGAGGTGTTGTCTGCCAAATCAGGGGCCTTTGAATGCATTCTAGGGGAAAGTGTGGCCAACAGGCCATGGACTACAGAATGGATGGCTTCCTTCACTTCAAGCGATGTCGGTTCTGAAAGCTCTGCAACCTGTTCGTGATAATAGGTAAAGAAATTCTAGGAAGAATTATCCTTCACAAGCAGCTTAACCTTTGCTATTGTGATTTTGCCAAACTGTAAGGAATAACAACACTGTTTACCTTCTCAGGTTGCAATGATCTTAGATAGTCCAATAAATCATTCTTCTCCTCACCGACAAATTGTTGCATCTGAAGAGCAGCACTTTTCCTCTTGACTTCACGAAGCTCCTTCAATGGGAAGAAACCACAGGATATTTTAAAGAAAGTTTGACCATGGAAGAAATGTATAGCTACTTAAAAATCTAGAATGTCAATATGCAAAGCATACAGTTAGGAATAAAGATGCATGACTGTAAAGTGTAAAGTAAATTGTAGCAAATAAAAGTGTCATTCTAGAAGATTGGCTAATGATAACACTAATGCACTAACTTGGCCTTTTATTTCTAGAAGGAAGAAGAAAACTTAAAAAATCATGTTTGGGAGGATGAGATAACGGTAGAAGGGAACACCATCTACCACTACTTCAAAAGGGAATTCATTTAAATAAACATGTCTATATGAGAACTAATTAGAGCTTCAATTCAGTCTTTAATACAGCTACAACATACATCCAAGAAGTAATTAGAAAAGGAGTTCCTGCTTATATTCAGCAATTAATTGTTAACCAAGTCATGAAAAATTAAACACAGCAGAATAACAAATCCAAGAATCCACAGGGAAAAAAGTTGTTTATTATACCTTTTTGATAGAAGCTAAACGCGTCTGTAAACTCCATATATACTGTTGAGCTTCTGGACTCATTTTACCAAAATCTGGAATATCAAATTTTGTATCACTCTTTTTCTCAGACATGGGCAAACTTTGTTGCCTTGGATTTTTTTCAAATTCATTTCTGATAAGCTGCGTGTCTTCTCCTTCAGATTTGAAATCTTCAGGTTTTTGTTTATCACCATGTTTATCATATATTTCAAGGTTTCTTTCAAGACAAAGCCTGTATTCAGCATTCCGCAGTGTGTACCTGCAATTGAAAAGGGAAGCCATCCAGTCATTTACTACATTCAAAGACATTCATCAGAAACAAAGGGCAAAAGAGCACTATAGCCACACCGTTTTGATAAATGGAATTCCAAGATTTCAAATATAGTTTATGAGTACAATTTCTCTTGACATAGAAAAAAAAACCGTTAACATAACAACAAAAAAAGAAACTGAATATGCATTTTGGAGATGAACACCATGATGTGAAAGTGGAATTTTTTGAATGTTAAGATATAATTCCTTCCAATTGGTTGCACACAGCATTTGCTAATGTAGTAGAAATGCTCAGGTATTGATCAGAAGAAGGTTATATAGTCTACCAGATCCCATTTTTTAACGGTGTTGCAAATTGTTCTTTTACTGCTCCAATACAATGATTACAAGTAATATTATTACAGTATGGGGCATAGCAATCCCATAAAATTTCCAGGTGGAGAAGGTTCTCTCTATCTGATTATATATATTTCAATTTTCATCTTCTTACCTTTTGACAAAAATTATAATTAGATTACAAACAAAAGGTTAAAGTAGCATTCACTATAGGAAATGGACATACCCAGTCATCATAGAAGAGACCAACAATTTGGAGAGTGGTTCCCATAATGCTTCAATAAGAACCTGAAATTGGTCAGATGGAAGCAATCCCAGCATGCCTGATATAGTTCTCTTCATGGCATCTATGGTAGTGAGGGGAACATCTTTTTGTATAAGACTAACATCCAAAGGCTCTATATCTTGTATCAAATTTGAGATGCCTGATTTCTGAAAAATTGAATCATTTAGAATCATTCTTAGTATTACCCTCTGATTTAGAAATGAAACTGCTTTTACTCTCTTCTTGTAAGTAATGATGCCATGGAGGTAATATAAACATAACCAACAAGCAAGTTGGTAATTCAGCTCAGCTCTCAAATTATCAGGAACAATGAGTAATTACCATATATAGATATATATTATTGTTCAAGAACATTAATTTTAAACTTAAATGCTCCAATACCCAATTAAATCTACACTTAATCATAATTAAACCACAATTGCAAACAGAAACAGCAGGCGAAACGATATTAGAATCATAACAGGAAAGAACAAACACAAAAGCCGACCTTCGATTGAGAATTTTGATGGCCGGCAGTGAAATCGTCGGAGGAAGAAGCTGAAGCAGCGAAAACCACAGTGGTTTTGAAGATACGAGGTTTATCAGACGGTTTGGTGAATCGAAGAGAATAGAAAGGCGCGGAAAGGGAAGAAGAGTGCGACAGCGAAGGGCGTGGCGGGGCAAGATAAGACCGGGAAAAGAGCGCGGAGAAGGAAGAGGAGTATAAGGCTGCCGCCATCGACAACCTCCGGCGCCGCCGCTCTTATTCTCTTCGCCACCTCCGGCTTCGTCTCGGCGGTTGCACCGAGTTGTTCAGCTCGTGGCCACAGACCACGATTACGTGAATATCAAAGATCAGACGTGTCATTTGGGAGTCAAAGTATAAAACACGTGGCGTGGACGGCGGCGAATGTATACGGGCCAACCGGTGCTAATACTTGGGCTGCCATTTATGGCCCAATATCAATCTACAACTTTATCCTGGTCGGATCATCGATTAACTTGGTAACCATCATGTTTCAAGTTTGATTCCCATTAAAAATACCTGATGGTGTATATATGTACTATATCAATTGCAAATACAGTTCTATAATCGCTTTCGGGTTCGGATCCTTAACCCGTCTACTTGTTGATTTAAGTGTTAAAGCTCAGAATACTTGGTAGTGGATCAGAGGTTTTCGAACTAATAGCTAGCCACTAGAAATAACAAAAAGTCACAACTTCAGCAATAATAGTTATACACAACATGTGAAGCACATGCACGGTTCATGCCGGGGCCCAACCGACTTGGCCACGTGCTCTAATATTCTTAAAGACCTCGTACTACTACAGGAATCAAGTCGATAGGTTAGTTCTAAACTGAATATGTCGGGGTGTACATAACGTAAAGGTGCAAGATGTCTTTAATGGAGCTCAGTAAATTAGGGAGGTCGAGATAATGCGGGTACGAGGTCAATGCAGATCGGACTGGGCCCAACTCGCGGAAAGAGTCCAGAATCGATCATCATATGCGCACCGTTATCGAGAAATAATCCATATCAATGGTTATTGACCTTTTTAGTTTGAGTCAGTCAATTATAGTATATGAACAATTAAACCTGATTGTGTGATTTATTTTCTTGTGATATTTTATTAATTAAGATTACAAGACAAAATCTATCACGTGTATACGTCTAAATAAATAGTGACAGCTGGTTTCCCTTATTAAGAAAAAAAAAAATTATCCAGGCCCAATCAGTTGAAAAGCCCAATAACGTGCATTATGGGACTAAGTCGGAGCCCCAACGACCCGATCCATTCCAGCCAAACTTCCCCGCCTCTCTTTGCTTCTTCCCTCTGCTTTTTTGCTGCAAGAGCGCTTTCATTCTTTATCGGCTCCGAGAAAAGCTCTCCTCAACGCAAATTCGTAGCCATCACTACTTCTCCTGCTCTCTTCCACTGAGAGAAAACTGAAAAAGAGGACAATTCTGTAAACAATTTTCAAAAATTGTGAAAACCCTAGCTTGCTTACTCTTAATTCTAGGGCTTTTTCTTCGTGTAAGGTAACCTTCGCATTGCCCTTCCTAGCTTACCTCTATTTCAATTCGTTTGTGTAATTTATCTCATTCTGTTGCTGAATTTTTTTTTGAGAAATTGGGAATGTGTAGTGGAAGCATCCAAAATTAAGAATTGTTTATCGTTTTGGAAGTAGCAAGCTCCCACATTCGCTCTATATGCGTGAACAAGTTTCATATATAGTTCATTGAATGCCTCTATTAACTCGTTTTAAGGTGGCTTATTCCGGCATTTGGATAATCTGAGATTGCACACCCTTTCTGAATTTTCCTTCTTGTATATTTTCTTTATTGCATCTTTGGTTTCTGTCATGTGTGACTTGCTTTTTCTGATAAAGCTCAAATTGAATGCAAAACACTTTCTTCTTTGGGGATGCAGTGAGGGTTGTACATTGAATCTAATGCATTGCTTTGACGTTGTTTTTATACTCTGTTTAATGTGAGCTGTAACTTAGGGTGGAGGAACTTCAGCATTGTGTGAATTTAACTTTTGTTGTTATGGAACTGTTTACTGTTTAAAGATTTGAACTTATGGAGGACAATGCAGTTATTCATGTTCCTGCCAATTGTTTTTTATAGGATGGATTGGAGTTAATACCAGGTTTAGTCATTGACTTTGGTGGTTTTTCCATATTTTTGGTGATCAACAAATAATTCCTTGACTTTCATAGTTTTACTAAATTTAGTCCTTGAACATATAATCTGTCTCCTGCGTTGTTTTGCCAACCCCATTCGAACCCTAAGCATTACTGTTGAATCTATAGAAGGATGGCAGTTTCTACAATCATCATTGTTCGATTGGCGACCGTTCTCTATTAGATATCAAAGATGACATTTGGAATTTACAGATTTGCCTATGGAGGGGACAGATTATATGATGGAGGACCAAATTTGGGAAACCATGAAAGTCAAAGGCCAAAATGTGGCGAAATTATTTGTTGAGACTTGAGTACTAAATTTGAAAAAACACTAAAGTTGAGGATAGATTGTTTTTTTCTATAGTGTATATACACACAATTTCCCACAATTTCCCACGTGTTCCACTCATTAATTACGCATTCAATCAAATGATTCTGATGGGCTCCTTTTGGTCAAGATGATATCTTATGTTTTTGGTGACTCTTCATCTTGGATGTCAGTATGGCAAGTATTTAATTATCAAACTTTGTAGATTTCACTCTTGCTAAGAAACACACACACACAAAATAATAATAATAATAAAAAATAAATAAACTGTCGTGAGGAAGAAAAGGTACAAAATAAGAAAGCTATTAAATGTCAAAATCTGGGCTGTTCATGTGTGATTTTCAATTGATCTGCCTCCTCCCTTTTGCCACGAATAGGAGCATAACATTACGCAATGAGCATTATGGAAATTGTATCAATTTTATTTGCTTTTTTTCATTTTTGTTTTGTGATGTCAATTGCAGGCATGTGGGATGAAATTGAAAGACATTGGCATTCTGCTATTGTAAGGATGTTTGTTTTCTCGGTGTAACCAACAAGGAATTTGCCTCTCTTGAAATTCTAGGATAGCAGTACATGACTTTGACTTCCTGGGAAACAATCAATATGGAGTCTGCATGTGTCCTAGACAGCCTGCTTTAGAGCTAAGAAGTGTAACTGTGTAAGTAGTAGTATAAAGCTGAAGCAAAATCTGAAATGACTGAAACTGTTCATAGTGGGACAGGAGAATCCAATGTCAAATGTTATGATCCTGAGAGTGTTGAAAGATTAACTCTTTCAGATACTATTCCTAAAAACTCAAATTGTGAATCCTTGGGGGAAAATGCTATTGAATTTGAATATCAAAACAGAGATTCCGAGCCGTTGGGGCAGACCATGGCCATTAGAAATGGAAATGTGGAGAGTAAACCAGCAGAAACCAGGGTAGCAGAATTTGAATTAGTAGGAGAATTATCTCCTAACTATATATCTGTAGATTCTAATAAAGAGGAAAAGAGACCAGAGTTCAAAGATTGCAGAGAAAATTCCAAGACTGAGCAGATAAAATTTCCTTTTGGCAATGAGGCAACTAGTTCTAAAGTTGAATATTCAGCAGAACCTCTCCAAGTGATGCCTGCCAAATATGTGTCTATGGATTCCAATAATGAGCAAAAGATACCAAGCCTGCAAGATTGTGGGCAAAATTCCAAGATTGAGGACAATGTGGGAACTAGTTCTACAATTGAGTCTGCAATAGAACCTCCCAAAGAGTTACCCACTGAAAACATCTTCACAGATTCCAATTTAGAGCAAAAGAATCTGCCACTTAAAAATTGTGGGTTTCATTCCAATCTTGTGATGGCATTGCCATCTGAAAACAAGGACAACAATTTTCCAGTTCAATATCCAGCAGAACCACCAAATGATGTGATTAAAAATCATGATTTTGAACAGTTAAATGAAACTCAAAAGGATGCAGTTGAAATTCCCAGCGAACCTTTGGTGCAGAAAAGTGAAAATGATGAGAACCTAGGTGAAAGAACTATAGTAGAATCTGTCTGTAATGAGGTATTACTTCCCTCTGGAGATGTAGCTGTCAATTCCAGTTTGGAGCAAAAGGAATCAGCACCGGAAGATTTAACAGTGGATTCCAGCTTTAAGAACTTGGAATTGCTACATGAAAATGAGGAAGCAATTTCTATAGTTGACCGTTTGGCAGAATTACATGGTGATGCATCTGAAAATCCTGGCCAGGACTTGAGTAAAATGCCTAGAGATTCAAATGAAAATGCTACTCAGTTAGAATGTGGAGATAAAAGGCCTACTGGGTGTTCAAGGAAGAGGAAGGCTACATTGGGATCACCTGTAATCAGTACCAGAGTACTACGCTCAAGAACACAAGAAGAACCTAAACCTGTTGAACCAATTCATGCTTCAGCAAATGATAGTGCCACTGATGAAAAGAAAAGAAAAAGGAGAAAAAGAAAACATAGTAAACAAATTGCTGTAAATGAATTCTCAGGGATAAAATCCCATCTGAGATATTTACTGAGTCGAATAAAATATGAACAAAACTTAATTGATGCTTACTCTGCTGAAGGCTGGAAAGGACAAAGGTGTGTACTTTTTGTTTTTTCCCTCTACCTGCCCGCAGGGAAAATTTCCATCTAATGGCAATGCCAAATAATAAATATTTATGGATACCAGCCCCCCCCCCCCCCCCCCCCCCCCCCTTCCACCACCACCACCATCACCACAAACACAGACAGATAAATAACAGGTTCACAGTCTCTTTCTAATTCACGTTAATCCTTTGTTTATCAACCATTAAAGGTCTGCTATTTTTGCAGCTTAGAAAAATTAAAGCCTGAGAAGGAGCTTCAACGTGCAAAATCTGGGATTTTCCATTACAAACTAAAAATTAGAGATTTATTTCAACGCATCGATACATCACTTTCTCAGGGAAAACTTCCAGAATCTTTATTTGATTCTGAGGGACAGATCGACAGTGAAGATGTAAGTGATGTGTGGTGACTGAATCTATGTTTTATTTACATTATGTGGTTTATAGTTGAGTCATCTTTTCATTGATCATACTGCAAATAAAATGTTGAGATAATATAAAGAGATCCGTTCTTATCACAGATATTCTGTGCAAAGTGTGGCAGTACGGATTTGCCAGCTGATAATGATATTATCCTCTGTGATGGTGCTTGTGAACGTGGATTTCACCAGTTGTGTTTGGAGCCACCTTTGTTGAAAGAAGACAGTAAAGTCAATAGCTCTTGAGAAGGGTTTTTTAGTACTGAAAATCTTTCCTTATTTAGTTTTTGAAACATAATATATATTCACCCCTTTCCCCCCTGTGATTACAGTTCCACCAGGTGATGAAGGCTGGCTATGTCCTGGATGTGACTGCAAAGTTGATTGTACCGACTTGCTCAGTGATTTGCTGGGTACTGATCTTTCTGTTACCGACAGTTGGGAGGTCTGGCCCTTGCTCTATATAGATATCCCTAGCTTATATTCTTCTCTTGATCTTTAATCAATCACTTCTGGCGTATGTAGAAGGTATTTCCAGAGGAGGCTGCCGCTGCTGCATCTGGAAAGCAGTTGGATGACATTTCTGGATTACCATCGGATGGTTCTGATGATGATGACTATAACCCTGATAATCCGGAAGTAGAGGAGAATGTTTCACAAGATGAATCAAGCTCTGATGAAAATGATTCCTCTGATGCATCTTTTGATTTGGAGACCACTGCTAATGATGGTATCCTGCTTGGGCTTCCTTCTGAAGATTCAGAAGATGAGGATTTTGACCCTGATGCTCCTGACCACGATGAGCAGGTTATGCAAGATAGTTCTAGTTCAGACTTTAGCTCTGACTCTGAGGATTTTGGTGTAGTATTTGAAAATAACACATCACCAGGCCAAGACCAATGTGAAAAAATTAAAGTAGGTGGAGCAAAACAACAGTCTTTGGAGACCACTGCTAATGATGATATCCTCCTTGGGCTTCCTTCTGAAGATTCAGAAGATGATGATTTTGACCCTGATGCTCCTGACCATGATGAGCAGGTTATGCAAGAAAGTTCTAGTTCAGGTTTTACCTCTGACTCTGAGGATTCAGGCCAAGACCAATGTGAAAAAATTAAAGTAGGTGGAGCAAAACAACAGCCTTTGAAGGATGAAGTATCATATCTTTTGCATTCCAGTACTGTTCTTGCATCTGGGAAAAGACAAGTGGAGAGGTTGGACTACAAAAAGCTGCATGACGTGAGTCTCTTTACAGTGATTGCATAGTGTGCCTCCGTAGTGATGAATATTTTTATTTATTCTACAAGTCATCAAACGACCTTCAACTCTTTCAATATGCACAATCCATCTTCAGTTTACTTTTTGTAATACAGTATACCCAAACCTTCTTAACTACTAGAGTCTACAGATTCCTGATTGTATGCACAAATTCTCTTTCCATCAGCAACACTCCTTATATAGACTAGATGCTAATCTTATTTGATGTTGCTGAGGATCTCAGTGTGTGGTACAGTTAGTTTAGGCTGTAGTCATAGTTATCCATTTTGCTCCTTAAAAGGTTTGGTTGGTATTGTTCTTCTATTCCCTTTGTTTCCTAATATTTTATACTTGATTTTGCTATATCAATTCCATCTTTAAACCTAAATCTGTAACCTGATTATGCACTTTACTTTTTAATTTGTTGGTATGTAGGAAACATATGGAATTGCGTCCTCTGACTCTAGTGACGAAGATTATGAGGATAATTCACCTCCCAAAAGAAGAAAGAAAGGAAGCGACAAAGCTGGTCTGAAGTCATCTGATCAATCTCCATTAGATGCTATGGACAAGAACTTCAAACAGAATGAAATTGAACATACTGCTAATAGAAGAGCCAGCAAGAAGTTCAATGGTGAAGGCCTGGTTGTGTCTGAATCTGGTTCAAGTGGTAAAAGAAATTCCAGATTTGGAGAAGATGCGATTAAGGTAATAACAATATGCTTGTGATTTCAGCTCAAATTACTGCATTTTCATCTTGGGAAATTGACTAAAATGGGAAGATTTGGTGTGTGCTGTACAAAATAGGAAGATTTTGAAATCTGAACTAAAATGGGCAAAACTAGTTTAGGTAATGCGTTCGAGTCAAAATGCAGTTCCCAAATGCGTTTGACACAATTTCAAAACCAATTTCCCAAATATTTGTCGAAAATGATTTTATGCCGAATGCATTTGGGAAGTGCGTTTGACAATTTTATTTCCAAATGTACATTTTTATTTAGTTATTTATTTTTTTAAAATGCCAAATGCATTTAGCGCATTTCCGAAATGCGTTTGACTGTAAAAATTTTACTTCCGTATTCTCTCACAAGTCTCATTATTCTTCTCTGATTCTGCCTCTGTTTCTTCACTCCTCTTCATCGCTAGGGATGGCAACGGGGTGGAGCGGGGGCAGGGAGTATACTCCCCGTCCCCGAAACCCCGACCCCGTCCCCATCCCCATCCCCATCCCCGACGGGGAATTTCCAAAATTCCCCATCCCCATCCCCGATCCCCGAAATTGTTCCCCGGCCCCGTCCTCATCCCCGACGGGGATGGGGATCCCCAATGGGGACGGGGCACTTTGCCATCCCTATTCATCGCTTTGCTTCTCTGTCAAATAAATCAAATGGTTGACTTGAACTATAAGGGCAATTGATTTTCCACTTAGTTACTACAGCTTGTCCCTCAATGTATTTGAATTTCTTGGAAATTTTAAATCTTCAATTGTTATCAGATACTAGTATCCCATATATCCTTGATTAGATTTCAGAATTTTTCTGAAGGCGAAAATTATGAAGGTTATGAGCATAGTTACTTCACTGCACACAAGTTCTTTCAGCCTCACAAGTGGTCCTCTCCCATTAATACACTGAGAAGCCTCCATCTCTTAGGGTTATATGGTAATTTTAGGATCAATATAAATATTACACCAAATCTTCCCATTTTAGTCAATTTCCCGTTGCATCTTTAGTATTGCTGATTGAGATTAATTTTTCCTAAATTTTGCTCTTATGGGTTACTAATTGAGAAGGTGTAATTTCTGTTTCTCTCTTTTGTCAAGTTCTATGTAAATATTAGACCATGTTTTTTTCTTGCAGAAGGTCAGTTGCTTCTCATACAAAAAATCATGCCATTTAGATAAATTTGTTCCGAAGATCATCCTGGCATCTAACTTCCTGTTCATTTCTTCAGTTTGGCATGTATTACCTGAAATTCTATTTGTTGCAGAGACTCAATGAAGCCTTCAAGGAAAATCATTATCCAAAACGAAATGTCAAGGAAAGCTTAGCTAGAGAATTAGGATTGACTCTCCGGCAGGTTCTGTACTTCACCTTAGCCATACCTTGGCTGTTATTATCGCTCTCTACTATTACTTCGTCAACTTCTGTTTGTTTATTCTGTTTCCCTTTATTTCTATTATCAGGTTGATAAATGGTTTGGAAATTCACGGTGGAGCTTTTACCATCCATCAGCATCACGCAAGGAACCAATTGCTAGTGAAACTCCTCCCAAAAGCGGGATTTCTCTGCCACAAATGGAAGAAGCCACACCCGATGTTCAGGAATGCCTCAATGGAGATATGAAACTGTTGCAGCCAGAGACTAAAGAAACTGATGTACTAAAACATACCACCCCAGAATCCAAAACTACAAGCAATGCTGATGATCAGGCGTCTAACCAAAGTTCCAAAACGCAGAGATCAAAGAAGCGTAATACCCAAGTTGATATTGCAAACTCTCAGCGGGCACGTAGAAGCAACAGATAACAGACTAAAACCCGCCCTTCTGATCAAATCAATTTTAAATAGAACTTCTTGTGTAGCGCATTACCTTTGACAAAAGCTATTTCTAAACTGGAGGATTGAGAAAACTCGGTTTCGGAGGCATGGAGTTCCCTTTCGATACTTAACTCTTTTAGTCTCTTGCTAATTCTTCCCCAGGCAGTAATGTAGGTTAGAACCTGGCTGGCTACCTGTCCAACCAATTTTGAATATGTTTGCAAATTGCAACCTTTTCATTATTTGTTTTATCCGTAGAAGTCATGTATTTTTATTTTTTACAGAGTCGCATTTTCAGACTATGTTATCTCTTCAGACACCATTTATTTAGGGTTTTCAAGGTTGTTGGTTGACCAAACTTATCTGTAAATCTGTACCTCTCAACTACAACTCTGGATGATATGTAGATGCTCATGTAACATTATTGTATCCTCCATTCTGTGACATTTCTTTTAAATAATTCCCTTCATGTTCTTTAAGTTTCATTTTCAATTCAATTACTTGCTACTAAACATTGTTATGAACTTAATTCCAGAAGACAACTTTGGCCCTGTTTGGTAATATAGTTAGCTTATCAATCATTTTAGGTTACTTTCTCAACCTACTGAAACACAAAGAACCAATAACGCCTTCATTGAGGCTCAAACTCGTAACCTTCCAAATGGAAGTCCAACTCGGGTACCATTAGACCACATAGTCTTGGTATCAGTCATTTTAGGTTATTTGATCACAATATAAGTGTTTGATTAATTAGCTTTTTGTAACCGTTTATTGCTCCAAAATGTTAAAAATTCAAAAAGCTACCCAAAATAGCTTTTTTGATAAGTTTTTTAAGAAAGTCATTTTTGCATGTAATTAGCTATCAGTTAGCAACTAATTTACCAAACATCTTTCTACAATCAGCTAACAGTTATTTACCAAACACCTCCTTTATACTATAATGTTATTTACATTCAAATGTTGCTTTGTTTTGCAAAATTATACTTGATTAATTCACGAGGCATGTCATGTCATGACCAAAATTCAGAACGTCAACTTCTGATTCATGTGGAAGGAACTTGAGGTACATCAGACAATCACTATATACTCATACTTCAAAACACTGTTAAACAAAGAGGATTGAGCATTAGGTTGAAGAAAAGATAAGCTTTAGAACACAACAAAGTCAAAAGGGGCAAAACTAGGATGAAAAAACAAAAACAAAAAAGAAAGAGAAATCCTTTAAGCAAGGCGAAGCTTTCTGCAACACTTTGTGGATAAAATAGAATGTTTAACAGTTATTTTAGGTAACTAGCAAGGAAGAGTAGACATTACACATTTGGACTTGGTCCAATAAGAGCCACTTCTAAGATTTTTCAGCCTAAGTGGACCACATGCATATATGGTTTTTGAAGTTAGTGAATGTACTGTACTATATAGGGATTGACATTAATTCTGCAATAGAGTAAAGTAAAGTTGAATCTGAGATGAATGAGCAGGAGGACAGTCACAGCTTCAGATTCAAGTCAAGCTTGCTAGGATTTGCAGGCTGTTCTTCTGGTTGTTGTGAGTTTAGTCGAAAACTCCCCGGCCACTTCAACCCCACTGCACCTTCCTCCATCATTGGGGTGTTAGTCTGCCATGGCATACAGAACTCGGTATCCGACTGCCCAAACCTCGCTGCTGTTCTGCAGCTATCCCTGACAGGCTTATGCACGAGCGAGTGGGGCATAACGCCAAGCGATCTGTACATATTATTGTTGTTATCGAGCGGCCAAGCCACGGTGGACATCATTCTCTGGGAGTGGTATTGCCTCACAGCACCTCTTTCCCTCTTGTGGGCATTCTGATGGCCACCCAAAGCCTGGGAGCTGTAGAATTTTCTCATGCAGAAGTTGCAAGAAAACACCTTTGCAGGAATAGGCCTTGCCTCTTTAAATCTTGAAGGGCCATTCTTCATTCCCAGGCCTAAACTTAACCACTCCCCATCATCACCATGATCACCATCTTCACCTCTCATCCTGCCTTTTCTCCTGGAGTTTTCAGTAAGCGAAAGGCCGGGTTTGAGAGATGCTTTGCAGTTTGGAAGCTTAAATGGTTGAAATAAAACTGGAAATCCTGGGAGGGGAAAAAGGTGGATAAGACAACTTAATGTATCACTTCTCTTTTCAATGTCCCTACCTAGTGATGCTTGGTGTTCCAGGGGACAATACTTATGTCATTATTCACTCTACCCTCTATCAGCTTGGATTATATTCCCCACTTCTTTCAGTTCTGTTTATCTGTTCACTTTTGGTTAGTTTCCACTGATTAATCAGAATAATAAACAGTGTTTTAATTTCAATCCGACGACGATTCCATCTATATATTTAGTCATAATACAACAACAGTATGCATTGTCTGCCATGGATGCTACTACTATCACAACATTGCATTTGTTCATCTGCATAGTTTGGGTAGAACTGTGTTCATGACCTTTAATGTTGAGTAGGTATGAAGCACAATAAACCTGGAACCCACTAACACTCACTTGTATTATGTCAAAAGAATGAGTGAACAATAAGCTTTCATTCAGAATGTGTATATGTTGGAGTGAGTGGTGGCAGTGTTATACTATATATATTCAGTGTGTTTTGATTCAGTGTCTTCTCAAGTGGTAGGGTCCAGAGACTTGGCATTTTTTCCCAATAATGTTGATCAAATATGGTCCGACTGTTGACTTGATAACCACAATATTACAAATTCAACTCCCAGTTGGAGCAGCCTATTAGCATTCTTGGTTTCAACAACTTAGGCCGGTTTACTGGTCCTTTGTTGATTAGGGTCACAAGACAGAGTTTGCTCAGTACTTCTTGGTTTCAGCCTTGCCGATCAGTTATGAGTAACCTAAATAGGCTGGTTTATTTCTTTGTGGTCCTTTGTTGACTAGGGTTTGCCCAATACTTCTTGGTTTCAGACCCGCCGATCAGTTATGAGTAACCTACCTTTGTGTATAATCCTGCATAATCTCGAATGTTATAGGCTGGTTTATTTCTTTGTGGTCCTCTGCTGACTAGGGTTTGCCCGGCCACTACTTCTTAGTTTCAGCCCCATCCAGCCGATCAGTTATGAGCAACCTAGGCTGGTTTAACTTCTTGTGGTCATTTGCTGATTAGGGTTACAGGGCAGAGTTTACCCAGTACACACCACCATCAGATAATGATTGCGAATTTTCTTTAAAAAACATGAGAATCTATGTGGGTGTCTTGATGTTTGTGCCTGACATGCAGAGGATGTTTCATATGAACAGCAGAAGGGCATTAGCAGCAGCCTTTGTACTTATATTCTGTGCCTGCCTTTTTTCAGTTAACCATGGAGATAAAGGACATGCAGAAGTGCATTCCTATCTACTCCTGTCACATTTTTTGTGCAGGATATATCAGATCACATCTATTTCTGTGTTTCGTGTTCCAGCAAATAACTGCGCAGACTGGTTGGACCGCACCATCTCAGAGATAAGGGGAAATGACGACATTCTCATTTCTTTGTTATGGCTTCTTTAAGAATTGTCATCAGCTCAGGTATTGACTCACAATGGTAAAGAATGGAATGAATGATGATCTGTTCATGAGAAGTGGTCCTGTCAGAGAACACTGTTTGGTGTTATCTTTATGGTAATGGACTGTCTCCATCATAACAATATTCGCATAATCGTTTTAACTACAAGTTTAAACTGATAATTAGAATAATAATTGATATTTTATATTATAGTATGCTTGAGTCTAGTGGGAGGTATCAAAGTGGTGGTGCAACCCCATCATGGATGGATGATGGTCCAACTAGAAGAAGATTACATTGAGACAAATTAATCAGACCGCGTCAAACTAAGAAGGCCAATTAGTCACTCTTATTGTGAATCAAAACCAGAAGTTAAGTGAGATAATTTTTTAGTTCAAACCAAGAAGGCTAATAGGTGAGTTGAACTTAGAACTTTGTGGCCACACCCAAGGGTGTGTAATGGATAAACCCTGCGTTTTGACCTTAAACTACAAGGAGATAAATTAGCCAAAATTGGCTGGCATGGACAACTCAGTTGGTCACAAAAGTAAAGTTTGGAAACAATGATCCGGGATTGAGTCTCACCAGTGAGGGGGCTTCTTGTGTGCAGTTAGCAAAGATCTTGTGTGCAGTTAACAAAGATCTAGCATCTGTGTTCAGCTGTACCATGACTTACATCCTCCTAAATACTCTGCCTGATCAGGACTTGTGGGGCTCTTGGGAATAATAAATCAACGTAAATTATCCATAACTGATCGGCTGAAACCAAGAAGTTGAAAACATGACTAACTTGGCAATTATTTGGTTCCATGTCATGGTGTGCAAGAAAGTGTATGAGATAAGGGATTGTGAGGAGGGTAGGAGATAAGGATGATGGAGGTGATGATGCAAGTGTATCTCTTTTCAAACTGGAGTTTACAGTGACAGTTTCAGAGAAAAAGAAGAAAGAATCTACAAAGTTAAATGTTTTTGAGTTGGATGCGATTTGGATTAGCAAATAATTATAGAGAATCCCTCTCTTCAACAGCCGACTTTCAGGTGTTTTGCCACTGCTGTTAAGGAAAAAGAAGGGGGAGACCACTTTGACAAGGTGGGAAAAAAGTGGATGGGTGTTGTGTGGTGTGTATCATCTTCCATTTCACACTCACAATTTTAGTGTATATCATTGTATATATTTATAAATTTTATTATTTATTAAAGCGTTCACAAGTCGTGTTTTTATTTTATTCACGCAATAAACTCATGACCTTAAAAGTTTTATGTAGACTTTAAATTTGGGAGGTCAAGATTACTCATGTTCTTCTGAAAAGAATGTGGCGGCTAATGTGTTAGGTAAGATTACGGTAAAAAAGATTTGTGATTGGATCGAGTTCAAGGACTACCCTCCGAGTGCTATTTGTGGAATTCTTGAGAAGGATAGGATTGATGCCGTGCAGCTCATGAGCCATTTGAGAAACGGGAGCTAATCGATTTTCTTTTTTTGGGGTGGGGTGGGGGGTCATCCCCCAAATTGTAAAAAATATGTTATAAGATATGGTGTCCTATTTAAAAAATAATTAAGGTTGTTTAAACTAGGCAAAGAAGCAATACCTTAATTTAATTTGTGATTTTTTTTTTTTGTTAATACTGGTATCTGTATTTGTAAAATAAGACTAATCCAGTTGAAACTAGTGCTATAAAAATCATTGCGAGTGCTAGGTGCTTCTAGGCCAAAATGAATAATGAAAAATTGGTAGTTTAGGTACTTAGATAATTTCTGTTTTAATTGAATTTTGTTTTGCTCAAAATAATATAATTTTGAGTAAAATAAAGTCTAATCTTCACCGGCTGGCATCACGACTCCATTCCACCACAACAACATCCTTTCATATTTCGACCAATGTCTGTAACTCGTAAATGATTTTAATTTTATAATACTAGACAAGACTTCAAATTCTATGGCTAAACAACTCAAATCTTGGGCAGTTGTCCCACTTGAACCAACGCCTTTTTAGTTTCATGAAATTTTGTATAGATAGAATGGATACAAATTTAAATGTTAATTCCAACATACATACAATCAAATCTTTTGTTCATCTATAATAACCAACTCAAATCACCCTAGTCATCTCTCTTTGAGAGAACCTAGAATTCATGAAGAGACTATAGAGAATAGGATGTGTAATTTGCAGGTATCCATTTCTAGCTTATGAATAACAGACAACCATGTCAGATAAACAGATTAATTAGCAGATTGTCACAACCTCAAAGTACCCAACAAACCTAGATTGATGCCCTTTCTGGGTCCTCTGATCTCAAAGCAAGTCCACAACCTGAATTGAAGCTGCATAATTCAAGTGATCCCATAAAGCCCAACATTGACATGTGACACCACAACCACTAAGCTAATGGCAATGAACATTGCTGCATATTTCCAGATTTTTAAGGTGGCTAGAGAATTAATAAACACTGCCCAACACCCATATTTGAACTTGATTTTATGACAACAATGTTCCAAGCAAGAAAGAAATTTGTGTACACCAAAGCTGTGGCACAACTCCAACAGCATTGCACAGGAAGCTAACCCAGGATTATATATGCAATTGCAAGAAGAATCAGATGGGAGAGACAACATATATATGGAAGAAAGCTAAGGGGTAACACAAGATCTATCTATAATAAGATTCAATTTATTGTAGACTTTTGTGGGTGCAGTAGAGTTGCAGATATGAAAGCACATTCTCAAAAGAATGGGAGTGGAGAGGGGAATAAACATCGTCTTATGATCTTAGCTGGCAAAGGATAAACCAGCCTAAGTTGTTTATATAGATAGTTGACTGGCTACTCAAACCAAGAAGATTAATAGACTACTACCACTAGGAGTCGAATTTGGAATTAATATTAATCTTGTGATTATCAAGCTAACTGTCCAATCATCACTGCACAAGTTACCCAAAGAGGCAAATTCTAAGTAACGAAATGTTTTGCCCAAAGCCCCAAATCAAGCATTTGATACCATCATATATAGTTGCCTCTTGTCACTGATTCATTATCTATCATGCAATCCCAGTAATAAAACAATGTCCATGCATTCAAAATTTGGAGATAAGACCATCCTTCAAATATCTCAAAAGACAAATCATTTAAGGAAGAAAATAGTGTAACACCCAGTTCAAAGAGCAAGTGATCTGGCCATCATTTTTCAGCTGATATGATACAGATCCAGGCCCTACTCTGATCAAGTGGTGAGACAAAATAAATCCCATCAAGAAACACTATTTAAAGCAAGTTGTCTGATATGGAAATTCATGCTTTTTTCTTGGCATGCTTCAATAGCTAGCAGTTAGCACAGATATTTATCAAGTTAAAATAGGTTACAAAGATAGGAAGAAATTTTGGGCCACAACCCGTGGAGCTCATGAGGCCCACTTTTCCCCATGCAAAACCATTTAGGATTGATCCATTTTACTATGGGACGGTTTAAAGTTGATTCGCAGAATTTGATTCATTTTGAAACCCTATTCTAGAGTCGTTATATCATGGATCAGGGTCCACCTTGCAAGGTAGATTTGAGTTTAAAATATACAATTTACATACTAAATATTCACAATTTACCTTTTACAAAATTGTAAACATTCAGTATGTAAATTGTGTATTTTGAACTCGGGTTCACAGAATAATTTGCTCATATTTCTATAAGCAGGCCAATGGCAAAGAAAACTCAGGGCAGCTTAGCCATAGTAGACCCATAAGAGGCTGGCTAGAGCAATCTTGGGCCTATTCTTAGAGGCTCAACTCATATATTGCCTACATCCTAAATGGCATTATATTGTTTTCTTTTCTTTGTTGTGTTTAGAAATCTCAAAACATCCTTTTGTTTATACCCATGCAAGACAATAGGATTCGACACTCAAATAAAAACATACAAATAATTTGTTTATACCCCATTTCGTACAAAACAAACAAATAAACAACAACCATATGTGCATGTAGAGAGAAGGAATGGAACAAGAAAACAAGTAGCTGTGAACAACCATAAATTATTAAAAAATGAGTCTGCAGCTATGGCTTGATTTTAACTATCAATCACCATCCTCTATAAGTACCTATCTTCTTCTCTTGAAAGTTGAAACCCATTAAAGAAATAGTTAAAACCAGCATGGATCGCATAACACTTTCTCTGTGTATACTAATCTTGGGTGCAGCCATCCATGGCTGCCGTGCCGCCGTTGAATACACAGTCACCAACACGGCGGCCAACACGACCGGCGGCGCCCGCTTCAACCAAGAAATCGGAGAAGAATACTCCAAAAACGTCCTAGACGCCGCCGCCAACTTCATATGGAGGGTCTTCCAGCAGAACTGCACCGGCGACCGGAAAGACGTCCAGAAAGTGAGCATGTTCGTGGACGACATGGACGGCGTGGCCTACGCCAGCAACAATGAGATCCACGTCAGCGCCAGGTACATCAACGGATACTCCGGTGACGTGAAAGGGGAGATCACCGGCGTGCTGTACCACGAGTCGACCCATATTTGGCAGTGGGACGGCAACGGCGCCGCCGACGGAGGGTTGATAGAAGGGATTGCCGATTTCGTGAGGCTGAAAGCCGGGTACGCGCCGAGCCACTGGAGGAAGGCCGGGGAAGGTGGCCGGTGGGACGCCGGCTACGACGTGACGGCGTGGTTTCTGGACTACTGCAATGATCTTAAGAATGGATTCGTCGCTGAACTCAACAAGAAAATGAAAGACGGTTACAATGACAGTTACTTCTCCGACATCCTGGGAAAAACAGTTGACCAGCTCTGGAAGGATTACAAGGCTAAATACAACAGCACTAATTAACTCCCTATCCCTAAATTTGTCCCACAACTTGTACGATGATGTTTACCAATAAATTTCCTTAAATATCTAGAACAACAACTATAAACATGGAAGCAGAATTCCTAAGATAATGTGTACCTTACAAGTATGAATTATTTATCCTTCCATAATTCATAATACTATGTAGATCTTGATTTATGATATAAATTGTCCATAGTAGATGGCAAATTATACTGTGGAATCGTGTCTTAACTTGCAAAGTAGACACACGGTTCCATTCTAAAATTACTCATAATTATGAATATATAGTTCAAAAATTATGATCATATAGTTCTATAATTATGAACATAGAGTTGTGAACATAATTATGAACATATAGTTCTGTAATTATGAATATAGAGATTCAACAATTGTGAATATGAAGTTCAAAAATTATGGATATATAACTTTATAATTATGAACATATAATTCAGTAATTATGAACGTAGAGTTCTGTAATTGTGAATATAGAGAATTATGAATATGAAGTTCAAAAATTATAAATATAGAACTTTATAATTATGAACGTATAGTTTAGCAATTATGAACATAGAATTGTGTCAACTTTGCAAGATAGACACGATTCCACAGCATAACGTTTGCATAGTAGACCCATAAGGCTGGCTGCTGCAATCTTGGGCCTATTCTTAGAGGCTCAACCCATCAGGCCATCATGCAAGAGGCATAAAGGCCCAAAATGACATAAAGTTTTTTTTTTTTTTTTTTTCTTTTGGAGAACAGACATAAAGGTTTATGAGTTTATCTGTCCAAATGTATAAGACATAGAGGGCTAATTGAACATTCAACCAAATGAACCAATTCCAAGCCATCATTTTCCATGATGTTGCAAGAATTTCAGCCATTTTTTTTAAATACTAGAGAAATCACTAGTGGAAATTATGAAATTTCCGACCACCTAAAAGTGATCTTAAATCAAGTCAAAAGTCTTGTTCCGACCACTTTTGGTATCCGGAAAAACCTTTGTTGCTATTTCCGACCACTTTTTGGTATTAATTTGATTTAAGATCATTTTCCGGTAGTCAGAAATTCCATAATTTCTAATAGTGAATTCAGTTAACAATTATTATTTGAAAATATATATTAAATAAACCATATGAATTATATTTTACCTATTTAATCATCCTTTTGAAATCTACAAGTCGATGTTTTCTCATGTGAATGCGGAAGTGTTAGTCAAGATCGTGTTTGCATTCAATCAATCAGTTTGACTCCTTGAGGTGGAAGCAATTATTTCCCACCAAACCATTTCTTCTTTTCCAGTCTTCCAAATCACTTGTGGCCAAAATTAAATATAAATCTGTCAAAGTGTTTGCCTGTTTGGTTTGGATTTTAAAACTCTTGCCAAACAATTAACCCAACAAATACATCATTTACATTTTGTCAAGATAAAACTTATGTCATGTTGGTAAATGGTTGTTAGCTGATTTAGTTAGAGGATATGACTAGTTGATAACATTAGGTGATTGTAGAAAGGTGTTTGATAAATTAGCTGTTAATTGATAGTTGTTTGGTATAATTTTTATTCGCAAAAAAATAAATGAAAAATTGTTTTGAGCAACTTTTTGAATTTTAGCATTTTGAAGTTACAAAAAAATGATTAACCAAACACTTATATTGATTTTATAACCACGTCAAACATTTAATAGTGATCAAATAAACTAAAATTGTCTGGTAAGTTAATTATTTTACCAAACAAGTCTTAATATGTCAAAAGTTATAGCTAGTAATAAAGATTTTATAATTTTATTTTTTAATACTTGATAGTAATTTACATTTTGATGACAAGATGTTAGATTTGACCTTCTAATTACTCGTACAGCATATTTTTCACTATTGTAATATTTTTTTTAATCAAACATTTGACACACCAATGATGTATAGATGCTATATATATACACCAAAGGTGAGCCAAAAAGTCACATCTCTTTAAAAATGAAGTTACAATTATTGTTCAAATCCTTTCTTGCAATGCTCAATGATTTTAAATTATTATAATAATTACTTATTTTAATTATGAAAATAATGTTTCTATACTTTAAAATTTTATTTAAAAAAAAAACTATTGCATAAATGGCATTGTTTTCTTTGATGTGTTCTAAACATTGTTTTGTTTCCATCACACATGACAATAGGATCCGACACACAAATAACTTGTTTATACGTCTAGAAGTAATTCAGTTGACATTTCAGTCATTGCCAAATGCCAATTTCCAGCCGCCTCACATATCTTATCAATATACATTTATTAAAGACTTAGTCCAATTCCACATTCTGCAAGTCTTTCCAACAAATTAAATAATATTCACACCTGACGATAGACATTTGTAGATGAGTTTACGTTCAAGTTTTAATTAATAATATTATTAAATTATTATCAACCATTTACACTTGTAGTTGATACACATTTTTAAAAGAAAATTAGATTGTATTGGTAAAATATGCCGTAGTAGATTTTGTCAATTCCATATATTTTCCTCTACAATGTTTGCTAATTATTCATAAAATTAATCAAATTTATCATTCATGCTACAAGAATCAAAGTGTTGTTATTATTATTATTATTATTATTATTATTATTATTATTATTATTTTTTGAATGACAAGAGAAATTCGTAGTCACTTGGTGTGCATTGGATAAACCGCGTTTTCTAATCTTAGTCGGCAAAGAATCATAAAGACGTAAATCAGCCTATGTTGCTCATAGCTGACTTCAAACCAAGAAGATTAATAGGTCACTCCAGTTTGTCTGAGAGTTAAACTTATAATGTTGTAGTTACTAAATAAACCGTCTGACCAACTTTTGTTATTATTTTTTGTATCAATTATTTTAAGTATCGTTTTCCACATAGAGAAAGAAGAACAAAACAAAATACTTGTATGTCTCTAGGCCATCGCGAACTCATAAGATCAACAAAAAAATTGCAATTTCAATCTATTCGGGAAAATCTGATCTCACACACGCAAATTAAAGATTAAGAGGTACTAATTTATCTTGTAAACTTTTTATTAATTAGTGAGAGAATGATACATAATCACTCATCCTTACTAGAAGTGATCATTAGATAAGAAAATTTTCATTATTTTTAATGAAATTGTTATATCTGAAAATCTGAAATACATAGTCATTTACATGGTTACACGCTTACACGTAAAGTAATTGACCGTAGAATATGGATATGAAAAACAATTACAAATTGAAAAAATCTCTGCAACCTATCAATCACCATCCTGGCATCCTCTTCTATAAATACCCATCTTTTTCTCTTGATGAAACCCATAAAACTCAAAAGGAAATCAAAGAAATAGCTAAAACCAGCATGGATCGCATAACACTTTCTCTGTGTATACTAATCTTGGGCGCGGCCATCCATGGCTGCCGTGCCGTTGAATACACAGTCACCAACACGGCGGCCAACACGCCCGGCGGCGCCCGCTTCAACCAAGTCATCGGAGAAGAATACTCCAAACAGGTCCTAGACGCCGCCGCCAACTTTATATGGAGGGTCTTCCAGCAGAACTCCCCCGGCGACCGGAAAGACGTTCAGAAAGTGAGCATGTTCGTGGACGACATGGACGGCGTGGCCTACGCCAGCAACAACGAGATCCACGTCAGCGCCAGGTACATCAACGGCTACTCCGGCGACGTGAAAGGGGAGATCACCGGCGTGCTGTACCACGAGTCCACCCATATTTGGCAGTGGAACGGCAACGGCGCCGCCAACGGAGGGTTGATAGAAGGGATTGCCGATTTCGTGAGGCTGAAAGCCGGGTACGCGCCGAGCCACTGGAGGAAGCCGGGTGAAGGTGACCGGTGGGACGCCGGCTACGACGTGACGGCGCGGTTTCTGGACTACTGCAATGATCTCAAGAATGGGTTCGTCGCTGAACTCAACGCGAAGATGAAAAACGGTTACAGTGACAGTTACTTCTCCGACATCCTGGGAAAAACAGTTGACCAACTCTGGACTGATTACAAGGCTAAATACAACACTAATTAACTAACGTCCTTTCCCTAAATTTGTACCACGAAGAAAGACTGAAACCCCAACTCTAAGGGCCCCCACACCCTAACCCGACAGAGCATTTGGGAGGATAAATTTTCATAAATATATGTACAACATCAACAATAAACATGGAAGTAGATTTCCTAAGATAATAAATTCATCATTATTATTTGAAGATTTTAAGTTTCTGTATTCATTGATAAACAAAAGGTTTGTATCTGTTCATACATATACTTTCTCAACCTACTGAAACACGTGAACAGTGACCTCCCATTTGGAGAGCACCAGTTATATCGCTAGATCACAAGGTCTTTTGGCAAGATTTTTGTAATTTTTTATGCAATGATTTATTGCTAATAAAAGATTAGAATCATTTTTTATGATTAAAAAAGATTCAAACTGCAATTCCTGGAGAGAAATGTGTTTCAGAAATGGGATCACAACTACGCTGAACTAAACAAGACGATGAAATGACAACTATTGTATGACCAATCCTTGGCCAACTGCAGACAGAAAGCTACATACAAACACATCACCCATATGCATTTAACAATGAAGTTTTCAAATTTCCAGAATAAAGCACAGTACAACAAATTGAGGGGACAAAGCACTTCTGTGATCAGTCATTTCGTTTGTTTAACAGGGGAAAGAGCTATGGGCTCACACTGGAGAAGCCATATACTTGTTACAACGAAAGCTTTTTCGCGAATTTATTATTGGGAGTGATACTGCTGAATGGTAGAAACAACTTGTTCAATGCTCTGGAATTTGCATCGTTCTTTAAGAAGCAACTTTGCAACGTTCAGAGCCTTCTTCTCACAGTTAGCTCGTTTCTCAGCATCAGGAATTGATTCGAAATCTTCCACGTGAGCAATACCGACAATTCTCCTGCAATTCAAGTGATTTTAGCATCTGTTAAGCAATGACTCGTGCAAAAGGATTAGTTCCTGTAATAAAGCATGCATCATAATCAACCTTATCATCTTGGCAGCGCCAAATCCGAGGGTGTCGTGGAACAGATCTCTCATGTACTTCTCTCTTACCAGATGCTGAAGCTCAGAATTGTTATATATACCAGGAAGATATGCCTCACCGGGACCATCCTTGTGTTCATCCCAGAGAGCAGTGAATTTTTTGTGAAAGAGGTTCCAAGTATCTGCTATTGTCTTCAAAATCCATGCTTTATATGACTGCTTAAGAAAAGGCTCGTAAATGATGAGTCACGATGCAAAAATGAAATAAGGGCAACAAGATACCCCACACATTTTACAAACCACGCATACCTTGCGGTCATTACCCTGATTTGCATGTCCATCTTGAGCATAGAACGCCAACATTAAGTTTCCAATAAAGGCTCCAACATCAAACCCCATCGGGCCATAAAAACCGAATTCTGGATCTATTACTTGAGTTGACTCGGGAGTAACCATGACAGAACCTGTATGGAGATCACCATGTATAAGAGCTTGGGTTCTTTCACAAAACCTGAAAAGTATACACCAAGACATATACAAAAGCTTCAACTGCTATAGAGCATAATGTTTTTAAAAATTTAGTAGAAAGAAACATATTTCCCAGTTGCAGACATTACTTGGATTTCAGCTCACCAACTTCCAGCTTCAAGACGTTATCACTCCGAACTGCCTCTGCATCAGCATCAAGATAAGGAGTTGTCCAGCGATTATATTGAGACACTTTGTAAGGATCAGAGAAGATAACCTGCTCAGTAAGTCTACACATTTCCACGTTTCCACAAAACTCTGCAACTGCATAGAGGATTTAAATGGCAATAAGAAAGTTTTTCTAGGTAAAAAAACTACCAATTACTGGAAACAAAGAAGGAAACATTGTTATAAATAATACATAATATTGCAACAAAAAGTTGTGAATAAACGGTTTGATAGAAATATGGATAGCTATACACATAGTCACATACCAAGTACAAACAAACTTTATGAACATTAAAATTAGTTACCAGCACGTTTGTGGTCTGTGGTAGTAAGATAAAGCAGGGATGTGAAAAAAAGAGTCTTAGCCATATAGTCTGACATATGCTCAGCAAGAACTGGATACTCAATCCCCGCGATCAGTCCCTTCCTTAAGATTATATGGGGAGGTTCAATGTAGTGCATGCCAATTAAACACATCGTCCTGTCAAAATGGTAAACTTGAGGAGTATGCTCAGGGCATAGGCGGCCATGCTCTTTTAAAACCGTCACTTCAAAATAAGCACGCTCCTTTGTCATCGGCCAGGACTCACCAACACACCGCACATATGGAATGGCCTGCAAACGCCAACACCACCACTCAAACAAGATTTTACCAAGAACAAACAATAAAGAAGCATGATGTTAAGATGTTTATCCCAGATTTTCATCCATTCTTAGCCAACATTTCTCTGCCACCATCAGATTCCATTAAACCAATAATAATTGCCCAAATGATTGGTCTACACTGTTCTAATAAGACACATTCAAGATAACCTAATCTGATCTAAATAAGTTATTTTCATTATCAGGATTGTAAAGCTGAGATATAAAATTCTGAAAATATTCTGAGAATCCAAAACAATAAATTTAGAAACTCAATAACTCAAGTAAACATTATCAGAAGGCTCTGCCTATTCAATCAAGAATTCAAGATGATAAGTTTATCCTCATACATACTAAAATCACGTTTACCTAAGCTATCAATCAATAAGCAGATTTTTCTTTAACAGCAAAAGAATAAAAACCATAAAACATTTCTGATTCATGCAAAGATCACAAGAGGAAGAAATTATATGTACCTGTTTGACGACAAGAGAACCAGAGGGACCGATAACAACATAGACGAAGTTGAGATTCCCATCGCCGACTTCTCTGATATTCAAACTATCGAGCTGATGAGGCTGGTCTCCGGCGAGTACCGAAGCCAGAGACGGAGTCGATTTTATGTACTCCACCACCGATTTCTCGTCCAACGCCCGGAATCCATCGGAAGCCATTCTTCCCGGCGGCGACTGTGAAGAATGGCGAGTTTTAGTAGTAGGTAGTAAAGAAGTAGGGGTGAGAAAAGCGGCAAGAAAACGCACGCTTTTCTAGATACGGAAAATAAAATTGGGGAAAAATCGGAAAATATTGGAGAATCGTTTGACGAGTTGCGTTACATTGCACCTGGACGGTTGCCTTAATTCTTCTGAACGTGTTGCGTTACTATTGGTCTAAACTCTAAAGAAAAGTCTGCTTTGTAAAATTAGATTCCAAAATAATAAGTAGAATATGGAACGAGAATCATGTTCTACTCACTTGTTACTCTTTTATTAGAACAACTTTAGCTATTATTATTTTTATTGGTGTGGCGTTATCTATAAATAATGTCGATTGATGACTTAATCATATAAATATACAATAATTTATATATTATATAACTATATAAGTATTGAGAATACCTTTTATTTTGATTTAAGTGAGTTTTCAAGGAAGAAACACATATGGAAGTAAAAAATGTTTTATTGAAAATTTTTGTATATCATAACCAAAACATACATATATTCTCATTTGTGTATATTTTCTAGCTAATCTTTTGGGCTTTAGTACATTAAATTAGTATCTCCACTACTTATTCTCTTGCTTTCTTATCAAAACATTGTCGAATGTTTGATTTGAATGCTTTTATGGTGTTTATTAGTGCATTGAAACCATTGGAGAGCAAATGCTGAAGCAAGGGAATCTTTAGAGCATGTTTAGGCCGCCCAACAAGGATAGATCATTGGTGATTATGAATGCTCGACGCGTTGAAAGATTGCAGGATGCAAGTTTTGGTTGATGATTTATGCTCAACATGTCAAGAATCTGTTATGCAAAATGTTTCAGCTCTGCACAATTTCTATTTATGACCCCGTGTTGGCTCCCACTATAAAAGGATTCATCTTTCCAAAATCCTAAGTTTGGTTGCGGCTTGGGAAGAAAAAGATAGTGAAAATAGTTGTTCTTTCACTTTTTCAGGGGCGAAATGAGGAATTCTTAGCTTACACCTTTGAATAGTAAAATCACTCCAAGATTGGGAGTTTCAAGTCACACCGAAAGGTGAAGGAAAAACTTGGAAGAACACCATTCGGGAGAATCCCTTCCATTTTCTTTTACTTTCTTTGTTTCTTGAATTTTCTTAATATTTGTGTAATGATGGCAATGTTAGATTGTTAGCCATGGTTGGCTAAGCTTATTTTGGAATTTTTGGGCAAATGTGTTTGTGAACCTATATGCCTTGTTCTTAAATTTCTGAATGATATATATTTGTGTTTCAATTATGTTATATTATTGATATTTGTAATTAAGGATCCAAATTACATGTTTCATTGCTATATTTGCGTATTGATATAGGTGTTATGGCATAAATTTGGACACCCACAATTGCACTTGGCTATTGAACCTTGGGAGATGACATTTTGGCTAAGAAGTTTTATGACTTTTATCTTGATTGCTTGCTCTTGAATTGTTTGTGTGATTTTTCATGGGAATGAATATATTCACTCACATTATTTTGGATTGGAATTATAAGAGTAATTCATCTCATTTGTATGTAATCTTTTACACTTGTTTAAGACAAAATTAAATATTTCACCTTAGATTGACACAATTAAACACTTAACCCCAAAAAATCTCATTCTTTACTCTATATGTATTTAATCTCTCCTCTTTGCTCCCTGCACCCTCCTCCCTTGCACATGTGACCTGGCAAAAACTATGTAAAACGTGCTAACAAATGATTGATGGCCGAGCACCTTGTGCTAGATAGTATGTAGTGATATCTCTTATGTGGGAAGTTATGAGATCGAATCTCAGTGGAAGCGTTGTTGACTCAAATGATTGATGATTACAAAATTTTGATCCTAACACAATATTTTTAGGCATTAAAAATCAGCCCATCAGGCATCTTACTTTCCATTTCATCTAGAAACATGCATGTTTGGGTCATAAGCATACAAATATGCTTTTTCTGGACATTTGATTGTCCAAAAGTAGTAATAAATTCTTCATGCAATGCAAGCCCATTACAATCCAAAACCATGCAAATTGATGATTATCAGTGTAGGCCCAGAAATGCAAAGAAATCCAAACCAATCAATTGTGAGATTCATGCAACCAAACCACATAGCAAACAAAGAAAGCCATGAAAGAGACCGGCCAAATGAGTCGTAGTGGGCAAATTATGATGTGCAACCGTGTGCGTACACTGTTTTATGTTCATAATTACTGAACTATATGTTCATAATTATAAAACTATATATTCATAATTATAAATCTATAATATAGAAATTATGAATTAGAACTGTGTCCACCTTGCATGGTGCACACAGTTGCACAACATAACATTCCGTCGTAGTGTTAATTCAGTAATTGTAAGATTTCAAATTTAATTCTTAGTGAAAGTACTCTACTATTTTCTTAGTTTTAGCTGATTAGTTATGAATAATCTAAGTTAGTTATTTTTTTTTAAAAAAAAAATTTGTGATCCTTTATTAATTAAAATCACAAAGCAAACAAGTTTATTTAATGTACAATTTCAAATAATAGTTGTTAGTTTTTCTCGTTACTATAAGAGAAAATAGCAATGAAACGATGTTTACATAAGACTTTTACAGGCACGCGGACAATAATTATTTGGACACAAAATCAATATCCCAAAGTCTTTTAGCATGGAACGTTCAACCAATGAACCAAACCGTCATTTCTGATTTTTTTTTTTAAAAGAAGATAACTTTTGTGTCAACATGTTTCAATCTACCACGTTCATATAGACAGCTCAAAATTGATCAAAAAGATAAAATTAAAAAAATGATTAGTAATCAAATTTCACCACCAACCAGAATTGGTCATAAAGGTAAAATTAAAAAAAATGCTTAGTAATTGAATTTAACCACTAATGATAGTGTAGGAGTATTCAACGTTGATTTACATTTTCTCATATGCTCGGTCAGATTAGAGTGTGGAGGCCTTTAAATTTGGGGATTCAGCCTTTTCGTGGTGGGGTAAGGAGTATTCAAGCTTTGGAAAGAGTGTTTCAATCTACCACCCCAATTCTTATCTTCTTTTTATTGACTAAAACACGGAAACACAAAGATGAAAATATAGTCATAATTACACATAAATGCGAAAGTGACTAATAATAATATATTAAGCAATGAAAATATCAAGGCACGAGGACAGAAAGATGGCGCCTGTCTACTGATCCACCACCGTTCTTAGTGTTTTCCGCCACCGCATCTGTTTCTGATTTCGTCGACAAATTCTTCCAAATTCCGGTCAGAAGAGCCGCCCTCCGCCACCGCCTCCTCCGCCTTCTTCTTCCACCTCAACGCATTCTCTTTCATCTCCGCCGCCTTTTCGCCGCGTGTTGCCTCGATCAAGCACTTCTCCACCTCGTCCCTGGTAATCAACCTGTTCTCGGCGTCGCCTCTGGATAGCCGAACGCCGATCTTGAAAACGTCGACGAGGTATTTAGCGTCGGTGACCTGATCCCCCCACTGCGGGAAAGCCACGACGGGGACACCGCTGGCGATGGCTTCCATCGACGAATTCCACCCGCAGTGAGTCACGAAGCAGGCCAGAGATGGATGCGCTAACACCTGTTCTTGCGAGCACCATTGCACCACTTTCCCGTTATCCCCAACTTTCTCCAGGAACCCGTCCGGCAAAACCGTCGGCGCGAACGCCGGCGGCGGCGGCTTCCTCACCCATAAGAAACACAGCCCGGAGTTCATCAACCCGTGGGCGATCTCATCCACCTGCTCTTGCTTCAAGACTACAACGCTCCCGAAGGAAATGTAAACCACAGAAGATTCCGGCTTGGAGTCGAGCCACTCGGTACAATCGTCGACTTTCACAAAGTCTCCGCGAACATTATCGGACTTCCCGGCGGCGGATTCGGGGGTCAAAAAAAGGGGACCAACGGGCTTGATGGGGCAGAGCTTGGACATGTATTCAAGAACTTCCGGTTCCAGTTCTTGAAACGTCTCCATTAAAACGTAAAACGGTTTGGACAAGTTCTCGAACTGGTTAAGAATGGCCCGGGCCAGGAATTTATACGGCGAAGAAGGGTATAAGTAGCTCGGGAACTCGTCGTATTTCAAAACCGGCATGCACGGCAACTGAACGTCGAGAAAAGGCTCTGTTTCAGTCGGAAAAGGAACCAACTTATTCTGGTAATGATAATAAGCAGAAAAGCTCGCACAAGACTGCACCCAAAGCACCGCACTGGGAATCCCATGTTTCTCGGCGACATCGGAAACCCACGGTATGAACGGATTGTTGATCAGACAAGAAACAGGGCGCCCTTGTTTTTCGTGTTTGTCGAGGATCCCCGACAGCTTCACGGACCCGACTCGCTCCATTTGGTCCAGCTGGAAGTCGAGGTCGTTGGCGTGCGGGCCATGCGGGTCGAACTCGTCGTCGAAGAACTCGAACCTGATGAACCCGTCGCCGTAGGGAGTGGGTTCTTCGCTGATTTTGGCGTTGGCTTTTCTCATCTCCACGCCCGTGCTTTCCGGTGCCGAGAAGGTGACCAGTAGGCCCTTGCCGGCGAGACGTTTGCCGAGGCGGAGGAGAGGGTTCACGTGGCCTTGCCCGGGGAAGGAGACCATGAAAACATGGAGAGGTGGAACGCCGCCGTTTTCAGAGCCCATGTCTCCGTCCTGAGCTTGATAAAATCTATATTTTCCTCTTCTAGGATATGATGCACAAATGTTATAATAAGATAAACTATTTATATATGACTTTGAAATATGCAGTGTGATTTTTTTTATTTATTTATTTTTTTTTTTTGTAATGGAAAATTTTATTTTCATTACTCAACTTTTTTAATCACACTTTACATGCAAACATTAAATAGTGATTTGTTTAGTTAATGATTAAATATCCCAAAGTCTTTTAGCATGGAACGTTCAACCAATGAACCAAATCGTCATTTCAGAATTTAGCTAATGTACACAAAAGTAGGTGTGACCGCGGTTCCGGGTCGGAACTGTCGATTCTGCAAGTGGAAAAATTAGAACCGAAACCACAAAGTACGATTTTGGTTCCGGTTTATGAACCAGCGGTTCTGGTTAGAACCGTCGGTTCTACCGGATTTTATAAATTAAAAAAAAAATAGAGGCTAAAGAGGCAAAGACTTTGCCTCTTTGCGCCATTGGGCAGTGCGGCAGTGATGCAGTATGCTACAGGCGTAGGCAACAGCCATCAATTTTTTTTTTTTTTTTTTTTTTTTACGCTTTGGAACCGAAACCGGCGGTTTCGGTTCTAATTTTTTAGTAACTTTAACCGGAATTTTTTGGTCCTGGAATTAGAACCGTATGAACGGTTCCAGTTCAGTTCCAATTAGCATAGTAAAGGTTTCGGTTTGAACCGAACCCTGATCATCCTACCCAAAAGAGAACTACATAAGTTTCAAAAGGATATTTATAGTGATTAAATTGTCATATTATTATTCATCGATCAATCATGCTCATGTCGTATCAAAGACCATAAATGTTTTTAGTTGGGCTACATTATAATTAATTAATTTACAAGATAAGTTTAGTTAAGATGATTAACATACAGAGAACCTTGTGGTCTAATGGTACCAAATTGAATTCTTACATATGAAGTTATAGCCATGAGTCACAGTGGAGGTGCTAACGACTCTCTATGATTGAGTATGTTTTGAAGCAATAAGATTTTACAAAAAGTTAACTAATCAAACACTTATATGGGTTATTTAATTGAAGCATGTGCTCCATCTTAACTAAAAGCTTAAGCTGATAGTTGGATTGCACATTAATGGTTATATGCTCAACATATTTAACCAAGTCAAAAAACTAATAGTGGTCACTTATATGGGTTGTTTAACCAAGGCAAACAACTAATAGTGGTCAAATACGTTAAAATTGGTTGATAAGCTAACTATATTATCAGCGTCATAAAAAAAATTGGACGTAACTATTCAATTACATTAAAATTACTCTTCATCCCATTTTATGTATCTTGTTTAGTTAATGAAACTTAATTAAAGTTATTTATATATTTTTTTTCAAAATATTAAGTTTGATAAATTACATTAAAATAATAAGTTTGATTTCTACTATACTAATAAGAGCCCAAGAGAGTTAGGCCTATAATGGGTAGAAAAAATGACGGTCACGGATTTTAATCAAATGAATGGCTCAGATTGATTGAAAGATTGATCAGATTTAAATTTTACACTAAAATTTCCTAAAATACCCACACACCATTACTAATTCCATTAAAATTTTAAGAATTGCCGTTAGTTCACCGTTAACTTACTCATTGATTTCAATAGAAAAAGGCCTTAGGTTCGAATCTCATCCCAATCAAAGTTGGCATAATTAGTACTCTATTTTACTCTTATTAAATTATATAAATAATAATTTAGTAGTTACAACAAAAAATAATACATATGCATTTCTTTAATTTATAATTATGTGTCCACATGCCTTTATTCAAAAAAAAAAAATATATTCATTATCAATAAATTAACTAAGAGAAATAATTTTATTAGTTATATTGTCTTTATTTTTCTTCAATATAAAAATTTTTTATATTCAAATTTATTAATTGATTATATTCGCTACATTATCCTTACAATGTCTTTATTCAGTGAAAAAAAATTATTAATTATCAATAAATTAATTAAAAGAAATATACCAGGACTATGTGGTCTAATGGTACCCGGGTTGGACTTCCATTTGGAAGACTCAGTGGAGGCGTTATTGGTTCTTTGTGTTTCAATAGGTTGAGAAAGTATATGAACAGATACTACAATGTAATAGAGCCAGTAACTTTCAAAAAAAAAAATTAAAAGAAATATTTTCATTAGTTATATTGTCTTTATTTTTCTCAAATGTAAAAATTTTTACATTCAAATTCATCAATTGATTATATTCACTATATTATCTATTATCTTTTTTCTGCACTATTTTTCTAATTAAATATCAAAGTTATAATACAAAATAATGCTATATATTTATTTACCAAGTATTTTATTAATACCATGAAAAAATTAAAAAAATATAATTAATAAAGCCAACCATATTAACTACTTGAGAGATTTTGTGACAAAGAAAGTATTCAAATCACACAACAAATTGAAGTGAGAACTACCTCGCAATGTCCTTGTTTGACAATCAGCAGTTAGGGGTTAGCGTTAGCGGATTTGACCAGCGAATTTATTTAATTATTAACATTGGGTAGAAAAAATGACCGCCAAATTATTAAATCAAATGAATGGTTCATATTGTTCAGATTTTAACTTTTTTCTTTTAAGATTTTCTAATTTATCCTTAATTATATGATTATCCATTTAATTTTTTCGTTAATTCACCGTTAGTCTAATTCTAATATTAAAGTCTAATATAGAATTATAACTACACCATTAATCTAATAATTCTAATATTAAAGTCTTAATAGAACTTAACCACAAATCCTAATGTCGGAATCTCCTCAAACAATATTAGTATATATTTAATATTTTATGCCCTAATTTTTATTTGTTCTCCCTTATGTCCCGTATTTGGTTTCAACCATACCTATACAATTATTTTATTGACAATTATAATCAATCTTGACTATATTATCTTGTATTTGTAAACTTAGAATTACCTATTTAACCCGCACCGGCTTAGCTCAATAGTTTTGAACCTCGGCGGCGGCAGTGCGGGAATTATGTCCAAAGTGGGCAGATTCCTTGTCCACAATGCTCTGTCGGGTCGGAGTGTGGGAGACCTTTGGGGTTGGAGACTCAACCTTTGGGAGAAGAATTACCTATTTAAATACGCAAATTCAACATTCAATTATCTATGCATGAACAATGTCAATATAATCCTGCCTTAATATACTTTAAAGTACTTATTTAAAAAAAAAAACATTGGGCATTATTCCAATTGCGCAAAAAAAAAACTAGTATAATAATAAATATGACAGCTAATTAAATATATCCAACAAAAAAAAAAAAAAGCGATAACTTTTGTGTCAACATGTTTCAATCTACCACACCAAATTATTACCTTTTTTTATTCAAAAGGTTTGATTTATTGACTAAAACATGAAAAAGACAATAAAAACAATAAGATAAAATAGTTAATACATCTAGAATCCTTCGAGTATAATGATTTGTCACGTTTAATCTTAAACTTTTAAATTATCACCCATGGTCTTTCGACTTTCAAATTGTTACTATCCGTGATCCAAGTTAACCACTCATGCTCCTTCAAGTATCAAATTTTAACCACCTATAGTCCTTCCAAGAGGACCGCGACTAGTTAAATTTTAAAAATTGAAGAACCATGGATGGTTAACTTGAATTACGGGTGGTAACAATTTAAAAGTTGAAGGACCATATGTAGTAATTTGAAAGTTTAGGATGAAACGTGTCAAAAGTATTAACTCTAATATGAAAATATAGTCATATAAATACACATAAATGCAAAAGTGACTAATATCAAGGCACGGTGACAGCAAGGTGGCGCCTGTCTGCTGATCCACAACCGGTCTTAGTGTTTTCCGCCACCGCATATGTTTCTGATTTCGTCGACAAATTCTTCCAAATTCCGGTCAGAAGAGCCGCCCTCCGCCACCGCCCCCTCTGCCTTCTTCTTCCACTTCAACGCATTTTCTTTCATCTCCGCCGCCTTTTCGCCGCGGGTTGCCTCGATCAAGCACTTCTCCACCTCGTCCCTGGTGATCAACCTGTTCTCAGCTTCGCCTCTGCATAGCCGAACGCCGATCTTGAAAACGTCGACGAGGTATTTAGCGTCGGTGACCTGATCCCCCCACTGCGGGAAAGCCACGACGGGGACGCCGCTGGAGATGGCTTCCATCGACGAATTCCATCCACAGTGAGTCACGAAGCAGGCCAGGGATGGATGCGCCAAAACCTGTTCTTGCGAGCACCATTGCACCACTTTCCCGTTATCCCCAACTCTTTCCAGGAACCCGTCCGGCAAAACCGTCGGCACGGACTCCAGCGGTGACCGTTTCCTCACCCATAAGAAACACAGCCCGGAGTTTATCAGCCCGTAGGCGATCTCATCCACCTGCTCTTGCTTCAAGGCTACAACGCTCCCGAAGGAAATGTAAACCACAGAAGATTCCGGCTTGGAGTCGAGCCACTCGATACAATCATCGACTTTCACAAAGTCTCCGCGAACATCGGAGGTTACGGCGGCGGACTTGGGGGTTAAAAAAAGAGGACCAACGGGCTTGATTGGGCAGAGTTTGGACATATATTCAAGAACTTCGGGTTCCAGTTCTTGAAATGTCTCCATCAATACGCAAAACGGTTTGGACAAGTTCTCGAACTGGTTAAGAATGGCCCGGGCCAGGAATTTATACGGCGAAGAAGGGTATAAGTAGCTCGGGAACTCGTCGTATTTCAAAACCGGCATGCACGGCAACTGAACGTCGAGAAAAGGCTCTGTTTCAGTCGGAAAAGGAACCAACTTATTATGGTAATGATAATAAGCAGAAAAGCTCGCACAAGACTGCACCCAAAGTACCGCACTGGGAATTCCATGTTTCTCGGCGACGTCGGAGACCCAGGGAATAAACGGATTGTTGATGAGACAAGAAACAGGGCGCCCCTGTTTTTCGTGTTTGTCGAGGATCCCCGACAGCTTCACGGCCCCGACTCGCTCCATTTGGTCGAGCTGGAAGTCCATGTCGTTGGCGTGCGGGCCATGCGGGTCGAACTCGTCGTCGAAGAACTCGAACCTGATGAACCCGTCGCCGTAGGGAGTGGGTTCTTCGCTGATTTTCGCGTTGGCTTTTCTCATCTCCACGCCCGTGCTTTCCGGTGCCGAGAAGGTGACGAGTAGGCCCTTTCCGGCGAGACGCTTGCCGAGGCGGAGGAGAGGGTTGACGTGGCCTTGCCCGGGGAAGGAGACCATGAAAACATGGAGAGGTGGAACGCCGCCGTTTTCAGAGCCCATTTCTCCGTCCTGAGCTTGATAAAATCTATCTATATTTCCCTCTTCTAGGATATGATGCACAAATGTTATACTAACAAACTATTTATATATAACTTTGAAAAATGCAGTATGATTTTTTCTTTTTAAATGGAAAATTTTATTTTCATTAGTCACACTTTACATGCAAACATTAAATAGTGATTATTGTAAGGTAATGACATGTGATTGTAGATCCAATCCCCAGAAACAATGCTAATACTAGTGCCTTATCGCGTGTATTTGAACCTATAATCTCCCTAGTGAAGGGATGCCCACTGAAATTCAAACCAATAATCTCCCAATCAAGAGAATTAGAATTATACCGTTTGACCATCAGGCCAGGTCTTTAGTAGTGCTAAGGTAATTTTTTTGTAAGAGACATTTACTAATTCCTTAATCTCTGTTCGCACCGAACTGATTCAATTAAGGGGCAAAGTGCTAAGGTAATTTAACTTGTAAGTAATTTTTAACTGATTCAATTAAGGGGCAAAGTGCTAAGGGGCAATTTTTTTGTAAGAGACATTTACTAATTCCTTAATCTCTGTTCGCACTTAAGAACTGATTCAATTAAGGGGGTAATTTAAAACTTGTAATACTTAAGAACTGATTCAATTAAGGGGCAAAGTGCTAAGGTAATTTAACTATACTTTCTCCACTGAGGCTCGAAATCACAACCTTCCACTTTGAAGTCCACCCCGGATACCATTAGACCACATAGTCCTGGTATGTGCATGTGAGCCTAAATGACCTGTCATACCCTAACCTATATTGGATAACAAAGCATGGGTAATACCTCTAACATCAGGCATTAACAAAAATTTAATAAATCTTTATCAATTTTATGATAAAATATAAATAACCTATCATTGTAAAATGAAAGGTTCATTTTCTGTAAAATAAATATACTGCAATGGTATTTCGCTTTCACGAAGAAGAAGTTGAAGTAGAATTCTTCTTAGTAGGGCCGTAGAATTCTTCTTAGTAGGGCCCCCAGCTCACTGGATATTCTGATCTCATCATACTATATGTTATGTTATATAATTCATTTGTATAAATATTTGGCTAATAATTCTATTAACTCCAATTGATGTTCCAAAAAAAACAAAACAAAACAAAAAACTCCAATTGATTATATATGTGCATAGAATTAATTTCACTTTTGGTCCTACGACTTTTGAGTTCTTATCATTTTTGGTGCACAACTTTAAATTTTTTCAATATTGGTGCCTAACTTTGTTATTTTTATCAGTTTTGGTCCTTCCAGTCAAATTGACGGTAAAATATTTCCGGATTTTATATTTTAGGGGCAAAATCGTTATCACATGGAAAGATCTTCAATATTTAAACAAAAGAAAAATCATATTAAGAGGAAAAGAAGAGTTTTCCAATGGTCGAAACTATAAATCCCATAGATCTGTCTGGTTTCTGCCCATCTTCCCCATTATTCTCATCATCAAACACCTATAGATATGATTTTACGGTGATTTTGTTTAGATACTGGAGATGTTTCCTTGGGATGGCGATTTTACCCCTAACAATATAAAATCCAGCAACATTTAGCTGTCAATTTGGCCGAAAGGACCAAAATTGATAAAAATAACAAAGTTATGCACCAAAATTAAAAAAATTTAAAGTTGTGCACCAAAAGTGATAGAACATCAAAAGTTGTGGGACCAAAAGTGAAATTAATTCTATGTGCATATAATAAATATTAATTAATTAGCATATTTTTTTTTTTAAATAATATAGTCATGTACGTAATAATACAAATGCATTATGCTAAGGGTGTGTTTGGAGCCAGGAAAACGATTTCTGAAAAAAGAATTATTTTTCAAAAAATATTTTCATTTATAGTGTTTGGTTGCATTTCAAAAAACTGTTCTGATGTGTTTGGTTCATTTTCTGGAAATTAAACATTTTAATTTACGAAAAAACTTAAAGTTACAATCACTATTCAAAAAGTGCGTTTTGAGTGAAATTTAAATTGTGATCTTAATAAACAAATGACAATAACGAATTAAATCAACCCACCTAAATTTTCACTAGTTGGACCACTCAAACAAAGAATATCAATAGACAATTCCTACGAAAAATCAAAATTTAAAATTTTGTATTACTAAAGATCAAGTTGCCCCAATTAACCCCTTACATCACTATCATATGTGGCTTAAAAAGACTGCATGCAAGTTTGTTAAGAAAAAAAATCGCAAATTTTTATATTATTTGTAGTCTTGCAAGAAAAATAAAATAAAATAAAAATAAGTCATATCGTTAAATGCACGACGCTACCACCAGTCGTCCATGCAACCACCACAAGGAACCGGCGAATAAGCACGTGCCAGCCACCACGTGACTACTGCATCTTCGATCACTCAATATACAACAATTGGGCAAACATTTTTTTGTTTTTTGTTTTTTTGTTTTTTTTTTTTACGTGTGTGTATAACATTCAATATATCTCATCACTGCAAGATTAATACATATCCGAGTGGACCCATGTAGTGACTTTATTCAAAAGAAATCTTGGTTGTGCATATAATATATTTAAACATAAATGTGGAATCTAATTATTAGTTTAGACTTTTAGTTGAGATAAAACACATGCTTCAATTATCTTGATACGAGTTTATTAATTTTAAACCACGCATACAAAAGTTGATATGTCAAGACGTAAAATTAAGTAAGAAAATATCAAAATAACAATTTTCTTATTTAATACTTCATATGTTTTATTTTATGTATTAAGTTTAGTTAACCATAGTTGATTAGAGTTATTTTATAGCTTCCTGGACTAACAAGTAACAATAATATATTAATGAAGTTTCCTGAGATCATATGTTCCTAATCTCAATATCAGATCAGATCATTAAGTATAAAGTTGGAAATGATTCAATATAATATAATAATAATAGTTATTTCGGTAGTCAATATCAACCAAACCTGTTTGCAATAGTTTTCATATCTATCTACATACATACAATACAATTCTAATAAGAGCTAATAATGTTAGGTCCTTAACTGGAACAAAAAACGGTCGGTACTATTGTTTCTTAAAATGAATAGTTCATATTAATTTGATTTTAGTATTTTTTTTATGATTTTTCTTATTTACCTTTTATTATATTATTTTCTTCCCTTAAATAACCTTAAATTCTGTTAGTATAAACTTTCTTAACGGAATATTCCATTAACTATTTATTATTCTTAACTTATTCATTGATTTCTATAAGAAATGTCTTAGGTTCGAATCTCATTTAAGCCCACTTACATTATGGCAATATATAGTAATAGGAGTATTTCGTATTTTTGGTTCTACGAGTATTGTAGTACTGACAATGTTAATTTACAATTTTTAAAATTTGTATAATTGGTCTACAAGTATCAATTTATTAGCGCAAATGATCATTTCGGTGAAATCTCCATCAATTTTTCACTGAAAAATTTATTTTCCCTTTATAGTAAGGGTATAATGATTTTTTCTTTTTGTGGAGATTTCACTAGAAGGATCATTTGTGCTAAGAAATTGATACTCATGGATCAATTATGTAAGTTTTGAAAGTTATGGATTAATTAGTGCGTTAATACTTGTGGGATCAGAAGTGCGAAAAACTCTATGGAGAAAACATGTTAATAAAAGGAAAAGACCATTATACCCTTGCTATAAAGGAAAAATAATTTTTCGATGAAAAGACCATTTGTACTAAGAAATTGATACTCATGGACCAATTATGCAAATTTTGAAAGTTATGGATCAACATTATTAGTGTCACAATACTCGTAGAACAAAAAGTGTGAAAAACTCATCGTAATAATAAAGCTTGCAAATTTTTTTTTAAAGCTACTGACTACATTGTAGTATCTGTTCATCTATATTTTCTCAACTTACTGAAGCACAAAAAGTCAACACAGTCTCTACTGAGACTAAATCTCATGACCTCCCATAAAGGTGAATCACTACATATCATCTGAGCAGAAGGTGCTTGTCATCTTGCAATTTAAATAACTTAAAAAAAAAAAAAAAAAGTTTATTCGGCTGTTATCCTCCGCACCGGTTCAAATGTACTCTGCATTGTTCCACAACTTCAATTCCAAGTTCCAACCACCAAGCTGTTCGCACGTGATGGCTTGGCGTTGTGCTCTTTCATTTTCTTCTGCTGCACTGCAATCTGGCTAGCATGCACAGCGGTAGCTCACCTGATGTCAAGTCAGGATTAGAAAGGTGGTACTGTGGTAGGGTGGGTTCCAGTTATACTTATACACTAGGGTCCACCATGTAAAGTAGATACTGGTCTTAAATTGTGTATTTTTAATATTAAAATTATAAACGTTTAAAATATAAATTGTGTGTTTAAGTTTTTAGTATTGGACTTGCCCCTGGTTAGTAAAGTGGTAGCTCACCTCACCTGATCTCAAGTTAGGACTAGAAGGGTGGCAAGGTGAGGGTTTGAACCCCACATTAAAAATTAATGGAGTTAGGCCCCCAAGTCAGAGTATGGTGTGTGTTGGGCTCCTTCTACACCCTCTTGTGACTTTAGGCGAGAGAGGTGATTCAACGATTTCATTAAGTGCGAGGACCATCATATCAACTTCATCACATATCTTTTTTCAGCTGCTAAATAAATCTCAAGTTTTGACAACTAATCACATACTTTGGCAACTAATCTAACTCACTTCTGGTTAATATTCATCTGTTTTTATACTAATACTAAAATTTATACTATATATACATATATACATACAAAGGTTATATATGAGACGGGGGTGGGATGGGAGTGGGGTGAGGGGGGCAACTGCCCCTGCCCCCTGCCCCTTTGGGTCCGTCCTTGGACAGCAGGATGTAAATATTGAGTATGGAACATTAATTAGATACCAATCAATCCATTTCTTGTGCAGTCTAGTAGTAATGCAACATGGTACCCAAAGACACATGCATGCAAAACATGACAGACAAAAAGTTAGTTGACAACATTGAATGCATGGAATGGCAGATCTAGGTAGAAGTATATGCAGAAGGAAAATGATAATTGAAAGGTGGTTAGGGAAGCAGAGACCGACGTAACAGTGCGTTCAGAAGACGTATTACTAT